ATTCTTGGGTCAATTCAATATATCCCAATATGATGATTCTCATTCTCTCTTTCGCCTTTACACATCCTTGATCATTCCCGGGGCCGGAATATAAGTTTATGCTTCCAACGAGGGGGGGGAAAAAAAAGGACCATAACATATAAGATTATAGAGGGAGATGATCTTTGGTGGCATAAAAACTATCTATACATTTTCTTGTAGGAATTGCCAACATTCAAGTGTCAAAAGCCTAGTCTTTTTTCATTCTCCTTATTTGTTGTGAACCTTTTATGAGAAATTTTCTCTCTTTCTTTCCCCTTAAAAAGAATGTATCCCTTTTCATTTTAATTTTTGTGTTATTGTCTTATAACTTTGTCATGCTTAAGTTTAATGCTAAAGAGAAAAAGGGAGAAAAAGTGAGGGCAAAAAATCTTATTGCGTATACGGAAGGTTAGAAATCTTAATGCGCTCTTAATAGAGGGACTTTTTTTTAGATGCTGGGGAGAGGCAAATATTTTTTAGAGTGTATGAGTCTGAATTTTTATTTTTTATTTTAAATTAATATTTTTTTTAGTTAAATAACTATATAAGTTAAAAGGGTATTAATCAAAATTAAGGGGTAAAAATTTAGATCTATGCATTCTAAGAATAAATTGAACGATTTTTTTTTTTCAACTTTTATTCGGTGTGTTATGTGCTCACGAGTTGCAACTGGTGTTCTAGTGTCACTTGGCTCAGTGCAGCTTATGGTTTGAACTTTGAATAGGCGACACTTTTATGTCTAAGTTGTAAATTATGCTTAAATCTTTCACCTTCTATATTCGAATACAGACTCTTTTTCCTCTAACCCACCCGTTGCTCTATATATTCCACAACAAACTGGGGTCCAAAACATTTGATGGGCTTGGATTTCTGTAGCCAGTTAGGTAGCACTTTTCTAATAGGCTTATCCCAACCCAATCCGAGACGGCCTAATTAAAAGTATGGATAAGACGGCCTAATTCAAAGTAAGGATAAGACGGCCTAATTAAAAGTAAGGATAAGACGGCCTAATTAAAAGTAAAGATAAGGAGGAAAATAACATAATTAATAAAATATTAATAAATTATAACATATTTTTTTTAAATATTAAATTATAATATAATTTAATAATTTAAATTTTAAATATTATTAAAAACTTAAAAATATCTCTAAATCTTCTTTTTCACCTCACTCCTCACTTTAAATATATATTTTTTAAAAAAATAATAAATTATATCATATTTTTTATAATAGGTAGATTATAGTCAAGTTCACCGTGACCAGGACTGGCGGCCAACTTCAGCGACCGACGACTATTTTCCAGCAATCTGTGACCGTTTTTCGGTGACTGTTTCCGGCAACCGTTTAACTCTGTATTTACTTGAAAAGCTTTCTACCGATTTCAACGACCGTTTAACGTTGTATTTACAAGTAAATATTGTATTTACTAGTAAATAATATATTTACCTGAAAATCTGGCCACCGACTTCGGTGACCGTTTAACATTGTATTTACTAGTAAATATCTTATTTACTAATAAATATCATATTTATCTGAAAATTCAGGCACCGATTCCGGCGACCGTTTAATACTGTATTTACTAGTAAATACTGTATTTGTGAGTAAATATCATATTTATCTGAAAATTTGACCGCCGACTGTAGCGATCGTTTAACACTGTATTTACCAGTAAATACTGTATTTACTAGTAAATACTGTATTTATCTGAAGATCCCGCCACTGATTTCGACAACCATTAAACACTATATTTACCAGTAAATACGATATTTACTATATTTATCTAAAAATCTAACGATCGATTCCAGCGACTGGTAAATATCATATTTACCAGATTTAAACTTATTTAGTGAAGTATTTACTTGTAAATATAATATTTACCACTCCTTATGACTGGTAAATACTATATATACCATATTCAAACTCATTCAATGAAGTATTTACTGATAAATACATTATTTATCAGATTCAAACTCAAATTTAGTGAAGTATTTACTGGCAAATGCATTATTTACCGGATTTGAAATTGAATTGAGTTAAGCATTCACCTGGAAATACAGTATTTACTCAAAAGTCATAAACAAAATTCACAAAAATCAACCATAATCACTAAAAATTACTTAGAAAAAATATAATACCTAAAATATACAAACACGAAAATTAAAACAAAAGAAAAATGTAAGAGAAGTGAGGATTGTATTGAATCTATGAAAGCTATGAACCCAAGAATGTTATCGAGCCTAACTAGAGAAGTGAGGATTGTATTGAATCCATGAAAGCTATGAAAAGCCAATTTTGTAACTTTAAAAAGCCATTGTCCACCTAGTGTCACATTTGAACTATCCAAAGAAGAGGTGACAATTGGTGCAGATCTTAGATCTCGTCAGGCTGGGGAAGACGAAGTTGATCTTCAGAGCTTGGATCTCCAAACTTGAATCTTCGCGGCGAGGGCTGCACGATATCTCAATTGGAGGGGGCGCGAGCCTCGCAAAGGTGACGGTCGTCAATGCAATGTTGAGATTCCCTTCGCGATTCCACCAGAACCGATCGACAATCAACGCAAACATCACAAACTACTAGAGATCCGTGGGCCGATATCCATCCATGCGTCACTAGACATTCGCAAGCTCCGATTTGCAGTGATGATGAGAAAAATGAGAAAGGGGAAGAGGAGAGAGAGGAAAATCCAAAGAGAGAGCTTAGCGAGAGAGATAGATCGGGAGGTTCAAATTTTATAGAGAGAGAAAAAAAGAGAGAAAAAGAGACTTTGCATATCTGATAGAGAGAATGTAAAAACCCTAAATAGAAGGGTAAATTTGGAAAATAGCATTTGCTTTCTTAATGAAATTTAAAATATGATATTATTTACTAAAATTTTAAAAATATGTCATAGTACAAATGCACATACAAATTATGTTAATTAATGTATTTTCCCATTAAAAGTAATTACATAAAATACCGATTTTAGAAGCTGTACTAAAATCGGAATGTGTAAAAATGCCGTCTATTATATAATATTATAAAAACGCCGAATAAGGCATATTTTTTCCCGTTTTGCCCTCATTGAGTATTTTAGGCATATTACTTTTATGGTTAATTTTTGTTTTTTTAATTATGATTTTTCATTAAAATTTATATATTTACCTTCCATTTTTGTACGGATTTGATTTATTTGTAGTCAATCACTTTTAATTCATGCTAATATGTTTTTTGTTTTTTTTTTTTTCTTGGTTTTGCTTTTCCCTCTTCTTTTCTTTTTTGAATTCAGCAGTTGTATGGGTTAATTGAAGGCCATTTTCCACTGTTGCCGATTTGTGTCTCAACCAACTTCATCCTTTTCATTTATGAGTTGTATTACGATATCTTATACTCTTTGAAGCCAGGGAAACGTGTGGGTTGTTGTGTGAGGGCTGTCGTTTTTGGTTTTCTTAAACACATGGGTCATTTCATCACAAAGGCAGGTGTGAGTTTGTTTTTCTTTATGTAATTCCTTTTTATTTGTTATTTCTTATGTTTTTTTAGCATTATGCTAATGAAATTAATTTGGGGTTTTGTGTATTAATGTGAATTAGTCATATATTTCCTATCTTAATAATTTTAGCATTAGTCTAAAGAAAATTGTGTTTGGGTTTGTATATTTATCTGTTTTAGTCATATATTCTCTATCGTAATGATTTTATCATTAGTCTATGAAAATTGTGTTTAGCTCTGTGTTTGGCTTTTTAAATGATTTTTCATTAAACTAATAAAAATAATATTGGGTTTTGCATGTTTATGTGTAGACATATATTCTGTATCATAATGATTTTATCATTATTCTAAAGAAATTTTTTTTTTGATTTTGTATATTTTCGTTCTTCATATGTAATTTAAATTTGGCATTCATTTTCACAATGATTACTGATTTGCATTCGTCAAAGTTTGTATTTTTTTTTTTTGGATCAATGGTGGAGAATAATGGTATTATTCCCTTTTTTTCATTCGTCAGAGTTTCTTTTCTTTTTCTCATTAAAGGAAACTTTCTTTATTTAAAACTACTATATTCTCATTAAATGCTAATATAATTTAATACTAAGTATTGTCTTTGTAAATAACGAAATTAGAAAATTTGATTTTCTCTATATCGGGATACATTTTCTTACAAATTTTATTCTTTAATCAATATTTCCTTTTTTTCTTCATGAGAATATAATGATCTTAATACATATGATAGTAGAAATGTTTGTAAATAAACAAAAAAGTAGACATTTTTTAAAACAAGACACTCAAAATGAGCATTTATATAAAGGGAGAAAGAAGAAAATAGGCCAAGACTTGAGATGAATTAAAATTAATAGGCCAATAGTTTACATAAGTTAATAAATAAGCTAAATTACTGTTTTCGTCCATAACTTGTTTGATTATAAACCATAACTTGACAAGTTGTTGTCCATAATTCACAATTTTTGTCCATAACTTGTCTGGTTATGAACCATAACTTGAGAAGTTTGTCAATAATTTATCTAATTATGAATCATAACTTGACAAATTATGACCTATTAATTTCTATAACTAAAAATTGACTTATATACTTTCTTAAGTTTTTTTATATTGACTATTTTCTACTATTTTCCTTATATAAATGACCCGTCAAATTAAGACCATAAGCCCACAAAGGCACCAAAAATAGCCCAATCCGAGACGGGAAAATGTAGACTATAAGCCCACAAAAAGCAAATGGAAAATGAAGGAATAATTTTAAATAAAGACCTTCGCAGTATTTTCTCTTATAACAATTTAAATTTAACTTTTTTATTATAATATTTTTTTCTCATATACACAGTTCAAATTAAGAACTTTGAGTTGTGAAACAAACCTACCAAAAATAAAATAAAACTTCCCTTGTTGCATTTTCCAACTATACCCAAATAATTTTATCAAAAATAAGGAAATCTCGAATGGCTTTGTAGTTTCAAACTATTTTACCACAAACGCTTGATGCCTAAAACGAAAAAAAAAAATTACTTTGTTATTTGTGATATTCCGTTTAATAATATTTCAACATGATGTAACTTACATCAAATAAATGATAAAATAATTGCCAAATGTGCACCAAGAAAGAAGACTTAAACAATAATAATCAAAGGCATCAATCAAGGATTGTAATAAGCTTATTTATGGGTCCAATAAGGCAGAGGCTTTTTCTTGCAGAACACTCCACGCCGCATTTACATGTTTCTCTTCAGTCAATGGAGCTCCTACTGCAAAACGTAATACGTATTTTCCTGATAAAACCTGCATGTTGACAAAAAAATTAATATAAAAAATGCACGTCTTTTGGTAGAACTAAAATTAGGCATAAAAGGATCAAAATATGAAGTAACTACCAATTAGTGAGCTTTACCGTGTGAGAAATGAAAGCTTTTCCGGTCGAGTTCACGGCATTCAACAGGTCATCGTTCAGTTTATTTGCCAAAGCTTCATCCTTGCAAGCAGGAAGCAAGCGGAAACAAACTAGCGAGAATATTCGAGGTGTGACAATCTGCCAGAAAAAATAATCCACAATGTAGTCACTGAAAAATCACATGAGATATTGTCTTGTAAGAAGTACAAAATAAACAATTTGAAGGGGGATTTGCACCAAATGTATTTCAGTACATTGTCCCGTAAGTAGATTTTTCCGATTTCTGAACAGCCAGCAGAGTCAATACCAATCCCCTTAAAAAATGCTTGAAATTCCATTCAGGGACATGCTAAAGTCTAAATAACACATTTATGATATCTGAAAATACGTGTACGAACACAATTCGTGTTTATGATTTTTCATAAAAACACGAGTAAAGACGGTAAACAACATGAAAATCATGCACATACATCACTGACATGAAAAGAAGAACGAAAGTAATTTTCATGGATATTAAGTTGTAGCTGAAACTTGAGAATAACAAATAACAAGTAAATCAAAGAACTTCGTTAATTACCTCAAATCTCGAGTCTTTAGCAACAAGCTCCTCAAAGTGTTTAGCCAAATTGATATGGTTTCTTAGGTAGCTCTGTAGGTTCTCCACACCATACAGACGTAACACCATCCATAGTTTCAGTGATCTAAGAACAAACAACGCATTGTTAAGAATACTCATAATGACATAGTTGATTGTAAACATATCGTTTTAAGGGACCACAGGGAAACAATGAACTATGGATAGGTTTATCAAATCTATATGCACAAGTCATTCAGCTTCTTAATCTCTTAATTGTTTCTTTGAAACAAATGTTTGAAGCCAGACCTAAAGCGACGTCCAAGCGGTATTTGCCAATCCTTGTAATCCACAACCAAATTTGCTTCAGAAGCCTGGAATATAAAATTAACCAGTCAGACACATTGTTAGAACTAAATGCCAAAAGTTGTCTGTAAATCTCTAATTATTGTACTTTCTTTTCAAGATCAATTTTAGTTAATACTCAAATCTCAGAGCATTTTGACCTACATTTGTTCTCCAATCAAGAAATAAAAACAAAAGTAAGAGGTAGACCAAATGAACTAAAGGAAAGAAAGAAACGACTTGTCTAAAAGCAAACATAAGATTAGCAAAAGGTCCTTCTCCATCATGTTAAACACAAATCAAAGCACAAAAAAGGGGTTAGCATGTTGGATTTCTCACCACAAGATAACATAGCAATAAACATACCTTGTTTTTCAGAAACTCGGGATTTGTAGATAAGGACTGAATCAAAGCATTTCTATCCTGTTGTCAGGAAATTAATGTGTGTCATACTGAATTCATATATGAGAACAGATGGATTATCAGTAGCAAAAGAGAATTGTTAAACTTGGATAAGCAAAGGTTTTCTTGTTCCTTCTCCGAAAAAGAAAGGAAGACTTCTGAAGTCGGTATTTGGAAAAAAGCTTGTGAAAGTAGGAGAAGAGGATCAAACCAATAATGTTATGCTCACATACCTTAATCCAGAGTGCTGAACAATCAAAATTTGTTAGAAGCCATTTATGAGCATTCATGTTAAATGAGTCCGCTTCTTCAACACCGTCAATGTACTGGCGGTATTCTGGACATATACAAGCACTTCCAGCATATGCAGCATCCACATGGAACCACATTCCATGACTCTGTAAAGTGGAAAGGTCGCATTACAAATATCCTAACTCCTAAGGTTGTGTCAATATTCAATGTGCACTATTATGCTAGTCAATTTTAGTTGGGCAAATGATTTGAAAAAACAAAAAAAACTACCAGCTCACTCCCTAACACAACGTGAGACTTGAGAAAAACATGCTTAGACGGGAAAAAGTGTGACGACCCTCCTAGGAGACCGCTACTGTAGCTGAAATTAACTTGTACTTACTGAGATTTCTTAAAATTTACGGAACATTTTAAAAAAAAAAAATATAATGAATAATTTCATAATTCGTAACAATAATTTCAAAAGAATGAATCACTAAATTTCTTAAAACTTTTCTTAATTTCAACTAAAATAAAACATTCTAGAAATATCCTTCAAACTGAGCAGCGTTTGAACTCTTGTTTCAAATACTCTTTAAAAGCCTTTCTAGAACTAGTCAATTCAATCTGGCCATCTAATTTGACTTTAAAACGGATTTCGTGAGAAATCTTAAATTCAAGTACATTTTAAAGTCCTTTTAAAATCAATCATTTAAATCGTCATGTTTAAAATTCGTTTATTTGTTGCATGTACTGTTGCAACGTTCTAAAACTTAAATACTCAAGACTAGGGTTGTTAGCTACAACCTCAGTTTTCTTAACATACCTATGTACATATACTTTTCAAATATACATGCTTGAAACCTTTGAATCATATATATATATATACATGATTTTATTTACTCTTACTGCGGAAGATTTAAGTGTGAGTGGTATCCATTCTCATCTCCATCATTCGTCCGCCGCTCACCATTGCCCTTCCCGAATTGCTGATAGGTTTCTTACCTAGAGCATGAACATATCTGATTGGGCTTTCGCTCAATAAGTAAGAACTATCTCTCGCAAAATAACTGTAAGTACACATGAATAAATATGCATGAGCTGATCATGCTTAATTTTCTTATCATAGTCTTATTATCTTATTTTTCTTACTGATGGGCCCGAGTGTTCGTACCACTTGCGCACAATCATGAGGACGTGAGGGTTTGTAAGGTCCCCCACGACACCGTGATTATAACTGAACTGAATGCCTTCCTCTCAGAGGACATTACTATATTTTTTTCTTTATTCTCCCTTGAGAGCTTGAGTCACCTCCCTCTCAGAAGCTGGTACAGTACTCAACTGAGATTATTCTTATAACTTCATTTTGACTTATTAAGGTGTATGCAGTATGACATGACATCGCATACAATACTTAAAGCGTAAACATGCATGTATAACATGTGTAATTTTTTCTTTAAAATCTATTCATGCTGTAGGCGAGATTCCTACTTGATTTACAGAGCTAGAATCTTTTCGCCAAACAGCCTATTCTCTTACTTCTGAAAATGAACACCCACTGAGAGTGTGAGATTATCTGTCGTTTGTTATTCTATTTTAGCAGCTTATAAAGAAAATCTAGCCCTTTACTTACGGCATGTATTCCTTTCCTTTACTGAAGGATAATTTACTATAAGGATCAATTTATTAAATCCTCAAAATCTTATTTCCTTAATTGCCCTTAACATACTTATGTCTAGGTTAAAAATCAATTACCCAATCTCGTAGTTTATTCTCCATAATTTATCTCATTGGACTTATTATGATATTAAAGCCCCAATTCGGCCTAGAACTTATTCACGGCATTCTAACTCTTAGGCCGTTGAAATTTAAACTCAAACGGGGTTGTTGAACTAATACAGGCATTGGACCCGCACCTAACTTTAAAATTCTAGGGGCCTAACATATTTAGCTCGCAAGTGCCTATCAGGATGTTTTGCTCAAAGACTATTAAGCTTTTAAAAGAAACTATCATTCGATTTTTTTTTTATAAAACCGATTACTCACTTATTTAGTTACAAGCAATAAAATCCCATTATAAAATCTCTTTTCGACTACCGACTTTTGAAACTATTGCTCATTTAGTTACAAGCACTAAAATCTCGTTGTAAAATCTCTTTTCGAATATCGACTTTTGAAAATTATTCCCCAAGTTGTTTTACGGTTGACTTGTAAACCACTGTGAAACTATGTTGTAGAAACCCTTTTTTTGAAATCTCTCTTCACGGCTATTCCTCGTTCAAGCGAGGTCTAAAACCATAGTATTTTACTGAAATCATATCTCGGGTTCTTTGATAACCTTTTGTTAAAACCAACACTGTGTTAGTTTTATTTAGTTAAAACTGTACAGTTTCTGAAATCTGCGTTTTACTACATCTTAGGGTCGGATTTTGAAAATCTGTTCTTCACGACAATTCTTCGCCTCGTTGAGATCTAAAATTGTCATTTTTAGAGAAAACTGAAATGCAGCCTCTAAAGGCCTCGTTTGACTGAAAACAGTGGCTGCAGTTTTTTTTTTCTGAAACTGTGTTGGACAGCCTGTCCCGTTTTTGCAAAATGGCTTAAAACTTGCATTTGGAGTTAAAATTGGGTTTTGTCACAATCACAGAAAAACGTTCAAAATATCGAGAACCATAAATTCAAACTTAGAAATACTGAAAAATCTCGCTCTAGGGTCCTCATTTTCGCGTTGAAAGTAACTGCTATAGAATTGCTGTAGCAATCTCTTTTAAAATGTTATAGGATGCTGCAGCAAATCTTCTTTTAAAAATGCTGTAGGATGCTGCAGCAAATCTTCTTTTAAAAAATACTGTAGGATTGCTGTAGCAATGCTGTAGCAATCGCCCCTTTTTTCTATTTCCGAAACTGTGTTTAACAGCCAGTCCGTTTTTACAAACTGGCTTCAAACTTGCTTTTAGAGTTAAAATTGGGTTTTGTCATAGTCATAAAAAATGTTCAAAACATCGAGGGCTATAAGTTCAAGCCAGAAAAACGTTCAAAATATCGAGAACCATAAATTCAAACTTAGAAATACTGAAAAATCTCGCTCTAGGGTCCTCATTTTCGCGTTGAAAGTAACCGAAAATTTTTTCCTACAACCCAAAATAAGCAACTTAAACCAAACATAAGCATACCACATAATACTAATCAAACTAACCTCAAAACTCACAAAACCAACTTAAAACTCACACACTCTTATTACAAACCATAGCCTCAAAGGACCACAAATTACATCTATAATTTCAAACTTAAAGTTGGCTAGAAAATAATGGAGAAGAGTTCAAGAAATTACCCTTGAAGAACTCTCTCTTGAAAACCTTTGAGATCCTCATCTTCTCCTTCAACTTAAACTAGGATTTGTGGTGAGATATATGAGAACTTTTGAGTGTATGCGAGGTAAGGGATGGCTCGGTTTTGGTGAGGGAAAAGTGGAGCAAATTTTAGAGGCTTGGAATTGTAGTGAATCTGATTTTGGTGTGGAGAAGAAAAGAATAAAGCAAAAGTGAGGCATAGCTTATGATGGCTCTATTTATAGACAAGTTGGTAATCATTTTTAGCACAAAATCAACTCCATTAATGAACTAAATTTTTGAGTTCAAATCCCTTAAGCATGGCCGGTCTAGGTGGGAGAAAAGAAAGGATAAATATGCCATGATTTCTCTTCAACCACTACCATCACATCACTTCTCATCATGAAACCTTCTAGCACACTCAAGTAACCAAAACTTTTGCTAAAACCTCCTAACATGGCCGGCCAAGATGAGAGAAAAGAGTGAAAAAGATTGTCATGATTTCTCTTCACCTTCCACCATCAAATCACATCTCATCCAACCAAACTCTAACCTACCCATTGTACTTTTGTCTAATCTCTTAAATTTCTCTTGCATCAGATAAAAATTATACTGACTGTAAGAAAGTACTTAGCTGACAGAAAATTATAGTTTTTGACGATTCCTTTTCTACTGCTTATTTACAGTTCAATATTAATCCCCGACTACTTCGATATTACATTGAATTCTTACTCGCGTAATATTTTGAACTGTTTCAAGTCTTGAAATTAATTCTAGACTGAACAGATTTTAAACTTAAATTTCTGCATTATATCCCGGGAATGATATTGTTTCTGACAGTGTCAACTCCCGAGCTCACATCGTACCCTTCTACTATATGTATTTATCTTGTGACTTTAACCTAGCTGTCTGGCAATTAATGATTTTTTCTTCTTTTAAAATGTCAGAGCGTTTTTTTTATACGCTGCTAACATCATGCTGTGCTTGGAGATTCTTAGAATTAATATTCTCAAACTACATATGTACTGAAAATTCTTCTGCCTTAAAGTACGGTAAAAATTTATCGATCAAATTTACTTGATCGGAAAACATGAACTTAGCATGAAATCTGCTACAGAATTTAGGAATATAGATGTTAATTCCATAAATCCTTCAGTCAGAAAATATAACATAGTATTTTCTAAAAAAATTCTTGACTTAAATACATAAATTGTATTATTTAAAGTCTGAGATTTTCTCAGTCATTACAAAAAATATGTTTTCTCTGAACATGCAACCAAGTTTGAATTGATATCATGGAAAGAGACGTTAATTGTAATGACCAAGAAAATCCAATAATTTAAATAATGCAATTTATGTATTTAAGTCAAGGATTTTTCTTGGAAAAAAATATATTATATTATATTTTGTGACTGACGGATTTACGGAATTAACATTTGTATTCTTAAATTCTGTATCAGATTTCATGTTAAGTTTTCGATCGATTAAATTCTCACCGTACTTTGAGGCGGAAGAATTTTCAGTACAGATATAGTTTGAGAATCTTAATTCCAAGAATCTCCAAGCACAGTACGAATTAGCATCTAGTATATATACATGAGAAAATTACAGCCAGTATAATTTTGAACAGTTTTAAGGAGAAATTTGAAAGAGTGGCCAAAAGTACAAGGGATAGGTTATATTTTTCCCTCTCTTTCTCCACTTGGCCGGCCATGCATAGGGAAAATCATAGCAAAAACTTGACTAGTTGAGTATGCTAGAGGATTTCATGATAAGGTGTGATGTGATAGTAGTAGTTGAAGGGAAAATCATGGCATACTTACTCTCTCTTTTCTCCATCAAGACCGGCTATGCTTAAGGGATTTGAACCCAAAATTTAGTTAAATTAATGGAGTTGATTGGTGTAAAAAAAATAATTACCAACATGTCTATAAAAGGAACCATCATAAGCTATGCCTCATTTTTCTCTTTTCTCTTTCTCTGCACCCCAAAACTGGATTCACCCCAATTCCAAGCCTCCAAAATTTTCTCCACCATCCCTCACCAAAACCGACCCTTCCTCTAGTCCACATACACTCAAAAGTTTTCATACATCTCACCATAAATCTTAACTTGAGTTAGAGGAGAAGAAGAAGAGTTCAAAGGTTTTCAAGAGAGAGCTCTTCAAGGGTAATTTCTTAAACTCCTCTCCATTATTTTTCTAGCAAACTCTAAACTTGAATTTATGGATGTAATTTGTGGTTCTTGAGAAGATAAGTTGTAATAAGAGTGTGTGAATTTTATGTTGATTTTGTGTGTTTTGAGGTTAGTTTGATTAGTATTATGTGGTATGCTTATGTTTGGTTTAAGTTGCTTTTTTTGGGTTGGAGGAAACATTTTCCGGTTACTTTGAACGCAAAAATGAGAATCCTAGAACGAAATTTTTCAGTATTTCTAAACTTGAACTTCTCAATGTTTTGAACGTTTTTCTGTGACCATGACAAAACCCAACTTTAACTCTAAAAGCAAGTTTGAAGCCATTTTCTAAAAACGGACAGGCTGTCCAACACAGTTTCAAAAAAAAAAAAAACAGCAACCACTGTTTTCAGCCAAACGAGGCATTTAGAGGCTGAATTTTAACTTTCTCCAAAAATGACAATTTTAAATCTCGACGAGACGAAAAATTGTTGCGAAGAGCAGATTTTTGAAATCCGACCCTAAGATGCAGTAAAACGCAGATTTCAGAAACTGCACATTTTTAACTAAACAAACCTAATACAGTGTAGTTTTTAACAAAAGTTTATCAAAGAACCCGAGAGGTGATTTCAATAAAAATACTATGGTGTTAAACATCGTTTTAACGGAAATATTCATAAAGAAAGTCTTCAAGAAAAATGGTTTCTTTTAAGAACTAAATGGTTTATCGAACAAACCATCCCGACGGGTACCTACGAGCCCAATACGTTAGGTCCTTAGAATTTCGAAGATTTGATGTGGGTCTAACGCCCGCATTAATTCAAGAGACTCCTTGAGTTTAAATTTCAACGGCCTAAGAGTTAGAACACCGTGAATAAGTTTCTAGGCCGAATTGGGCCTTAATATCATAACAAGTCCAATGAGGTAGATTATGGAGAATAAGTCACTAGATTGGGTAATCAATTTTCAATCTAGGCAAGTAGATAATAAGGGCAATTAAAGAAAATAAGATTTTGAAAATTTAATAAATTGATTCTTATAGTAAATTATCCTTCAATAAAAGAGAGGAATACATGCCTTAAGGAAAGGGTTACATTCCCTTCATAAGCTGCTAAAGTAGAATAGTAAACGACAGTTAATCTCACTCTTAATGGGTATTCATTTTCAGAAGTAAGCAAGTAAGAGAGTACGTTGTTTGGCGAAAAGCGGATTCCAGCTCTGTAAAATCAGGTAAGTAGGAATCTCGCCTACAGTATAAATAGATTTTAAAATGAACAGTACACATAAATTATATATGTTTGAGTACATTTAAAGTTATATATGCTATGATATGTCATACTGCATACACTTAAGCAATGCACATGAATTATATGTGTTTGAGTACATTTCATGTTATAGTATGCTATGCTATGTCATATTGCATACACCTTAATAAGTTAAGAGAAACTTATAAGAATAATCTCAGTTGAGTGTCGTCTCAGCCTCTGAGAGGGAGGTAACTCAGGCTCCGCAAGGGAGAAAAAAAAATATAATAATGTCCTCTGAGAATGAGGCATTCAGTTCAGTTATAATCACGGCATCGTGGGGGACCTTGCAAACCCTCACGTCCCGATGATTGCGCGCAAGTGGTACGAGCATTCGGGCCCATCAGTAAGAAAGATAAGATAAGATAATAAGATTATGATAAGACATCATAATTAAGCATAATCAACTCATCATAGAATATTTATATTGTAGGTAAGCAACCTGTATATAATACTTGATAGACTGACGGGAATGGACGAACGATGTGGAGATCGGGGAATGGATACCGCTCGCAAATATTTTCGCAATCAGTTTTACGTATAAATAGTTTTGTTAATTATGATTCTAAAATTATATGTTAAATGATTTTGTGGATTATTGTTGTTAGTAGGCAAACTTATGGAGTAAGTATATATATATATATATATATATATCTATATGCTTTGATTAACAGATATGTTAAGATTTGAATATTTGATCAAGAAAGCAATTCGTATCATATGTCGTATTAGTAAGTTCTTTTAAAAAAAAAAGAGAGAATGTTATAGCATTTTTATAGCATTTTAAAAAAGAATGCTACAGCATTCTTACAGCATTTTTAAAAAAAAATGCTGCAGCATTCCTACATCATTTTTAAAATACTGCAGCATTCTAGGTAACAAAAAAAAAATCACTCGGATTTTTTGGAAAGCTTCAGAAGTTATAGGCTAAAAATTAATTTTAGTGACGGCTAACTCAGTAGGGTCCTCACATTAATCATAGCTTATCCTTACTGTACAGTGCTTCTTTCTTTGTTTTAAATCATGCATAAAAAAATTGGTGATAGCAATGCATTAATCTACTTGTTGTCCACATAATTTCCACTGAGATACCATAAATATCCAAGGCCTTCTAAATAAAATAAAATAATGTGCAAGAAACCTACGAAACTAAATCAACTCCACCTCAGGAGGTGAAAGAAGAATTGGAAAAAAAAGAAAAAAAAAATTACGGTAGAACAGATGATATCCCTTACCTTAGCAATCCTTCCTAATGCTGACAAAGGATCAATAGCCGTAGATGAAGTGGTACCAACCTGCATAGGGCAAATGAAAATCTTCTTTCACGGAAACATACACGCGATTGCAAAAGAATGTAATAAGATTCAAATATGCCGCCACTTAGGACGTCTCAACTCCATAGACTCAAGAACTCACATAAAAACTTATTCTTCTAAGCTAATAGTAAATCAAATGAAAAAAAAAAAAAAAGAAGAACAGAAAAGAAAGAAAGAAGACAAATACAAGTTGAAATAAGCTAGAACAAGAAGTTCTCATTTCTTACCGTTGCACATAAGAAAAAGGGAATAAAACCATTGGAAACATCACTCGAAATTGCTTTGTTAAGTACATCTGGAGGTAGGGCATAATTGGTAGAAGAATCCGTTCTTAGAAGCCTGCAATTCTCTGGATGTATACCTGCTATCTGCCATTAAACCGTAAACAGCGCAAAAATTTAATAGACACAACTAAGCCTATAAGTACCCACCAAAACGGCAAAGTTCAATAAGTAAACAAGGCATACTTCTACAAAAATAGACTGGAAAATATTTAGGATCTCGGAATGAACTCCAAACCTCATTTATCTACACTCTACTAAAAACTCCAAACATATGAAAGTGTAAAATATTTACCTCGGCTGAAATAATATGAAAATTCAGAAAGAATACACATTAGGAAGATACCTGACAAGCCTTCTGTAAAGCTGAATGAGTCTGATCAGATGCATAAACGACAAGTTTCTCAAGTGCGTTTTTCCCGGCCTTCTTCAAGAACTTATCACGGGCAGCCAATAATACAACTAGAATAGCTTCACTTGCTGTTCCCTGAATGACTCCACCACCCTGTCCTGCATCAAATTCTCGACAAAGTTCGATGAATTAATCACCCTATTCTTGCTAAATCAACATTTTTAAAAAAAGAAAAAATTAACTATTTTATATGGTTTACTTAAACGTTACTGCCATAAGAATCAGCTTAAAACGAATTGTAAATCATGATCAATATGGCATACAAATTCTTCAAGTTCATATTGTTTTGTCAAAGACACCAGAGCAAGATGTGTATGTTCATAGTGAGTATTGTCAAGGAAAACATGCACAGAAGTATACAAATCCATACCTGCTGAAAGAAAATCCTCAGGAAGCTTTAACATTTTACCAAGCCAGTCAAGAACAACCGTTTCAAGTTCTGTTGCTGCCGGAGAAGTAATCCAACTAAAGCCCACAATGTTAAGACCAGCACTAAGCATCTCGCCCATAAATCCAGCAACACTACTATTAGAAGGATAGTATGCAAAATAATTTGGGCTCTGCCAATGTGTCACCCCTGGTAATATTTTGGTCTGAATGTCTGCAATTTCACAAAAGTTTGTTCTATATCAATAACCAAGCGAGAATCTTCCAATGTTATATGCCAACTAAAAATTTGATAACCCAGTTGCAAAACTTCACCATCAAATAGATTTTCCAAAGAATCAGGATGAGTAGGTGCAGAATCCGGTAAAAGTTTATGTAGATATCCAGGCTGCCAATAAAAAAACATCCCACTAAACTTTTTCAGTATTCTTTCTACGGTTTAAATCAAATTTGGCCCCTAAAGAATAGGAGTTGTCTCGCTTTGTCTCTTACAACTTAAAATTGAATAGAACTTCCCCAAGAATATCATAAGTTGCAACTTAATATTCTGTTAGAGCATCTCTAATACAATACTATAATTGATAAACTAATTGTAAATTTTATAATACTATAATTGATGTGTCAATAACATTTGAGTGTAATACTCCAATGCAATGCTTTTTTTTTGTATCAAATTTTCCATATGCCATAATTTGTGGCGTATAGCGTATAAAAATTTGACATTTAATTGATATTAGTTGAAATGTTTATTTTTTCACGTAATCATTATAATTTTTGCATTTTTTAAAATTATTTTAAAAATAAAAATTTACTTGTACAACTTTTAAAATTTAATAATTATAAAAAAAATAGATTTCACATTTCAAATAACATTATGCATCAGAGTAAAAATAAAAATAACTTACTATATCATACTTTTATGCTAAACATACAATTGGTATTAGCATTTATATTGAAGATGGTGTAGCCACTTCGAATCACAGGGAGCCAATGGAAAAAACCCTATTCTTAGGGGGGCAAAATTTGAAATTAATGAGAATCACAAAAAACCTGGACTTGGCTGAGAACTGGGAAATTCTCAATGGTTTTGTAGTAGTCAGCAATGAAATCCACCATCTTATGCCCACACTCTCTGAGTTGCTCAGCGTCCATTGGCTTCAACGCTCTATCCCTATTCATCCAAACACCAAAACCAAAAGCCCAGAAAACATTAATCCATCCATATAAAAAAGGACAAGACAGGGAGAAAATCCCAAAACGGAATTTTGGTTTGAAGCAAGACAATGATACAATGCGAATAGATTATGTGAAACTTACATTTTGTTACTGCTCTCAGAAAAAAAAAAAAAAAAAGTGAAGCAAAGAGAGATATATTATGGAGAATATAAAGCTGACTATTTGGTTGGACGGAGAAGGCAAAACTGAGTTATGTTTACAATCTCCACCACAAACAAAAGTGCGACGGCCTAAAAGTCTATTTCGGTGGTTTTTTTACTTTTTTTAGAATACAAATACAACTCAACTCACCATTAAAAACATGACTTAAATGTATTCCATAAACATTAAAAAAAACAAAAAGGTGTTTTTTATAAACTCATTAATTATATCTTAATTTTTACTTTTTAATTTAAGTTGGACATTCGAATCCTTCGTTTTATGGTGGGTTGTACTTTAAATGTTTGTTCTTTTGAGTGAAAAACAACTCAAATTATAACTTTATTCAAATTTATATTTTTTTAACTCGTTTAGTTTGCTGATTTGAATTTTTAATTCGAGTTGAGATTTGATTTTATGTGAGAGCTTTTTACTGTAGCAAAAAAGTTAGATGTGATTGTTTGTGAGAACTTTTTACTGTAGCAAAACTCGAATTCTAAACTTAAATCAGCGAAATGAACGGGGCCTAGTTCAAACTCGAGTTTGGGACTAAAACTCGAATTCAAGTTTCCCTTTCAACTCGAGTTCAGAAACTCGAACTCAAATTAATGAACATTATTTTTTCTATTCTTAAAAATGCTATAACTTTTTCGTTTTAATTCTGATTGAGATGATTTTTTTTCTATGTATTGACAACGAAAAGACGAATAAAACCCCACCTATATACCCTATTAAAATTTTCCATCAGTATTGAGTTTTTATTAAAGTACTATCTAAATATAAATTCAAGTTTTGACTCACTCAAACACAAACTCAAAAAGATTCTTATCTCAAATCATGACTCAAATGTACACAACCAAACACAAACTCAAGTTATAACTTCAACTCAAATTTAACTCAAGAATTATACTCAAATTAAACTCCAAAAGAACAAACCCTAAGTTATGCTGCAACATCTTAATTTAGATTAATATAGAAAGAAAGAAAGAGGAAAACACCCTCAATTTGGTCAGTTTATGGTGCTAACGGCTAATCTCTGACGTCTATGTAACAGCATATAAAAGTATAGTGGTTCATGGATTAGAATCATAAGATTAGAATCATTTTCGATTTACGTGTATTTTTTGTGAGAGAAAACACTGTAACGAACCATGAACCTTGATTCGAATTGGCGTATGAATCCCTCAACCATGAATCATAGTGAAAACGACACCAAGTTGAGAAGTGAAACGGAAATGGAAAAAACAAGAAGAATAGAAACGACAAAAACTAAGTGAGACGCAATGGTGTTACTAAACGACGACAACCTATAAAACGACAATAAAATTTTATGACCATCGCTAAAGCTTTTCAAATTTAAAGTCCTATTTATCAAAATCCAAAAGTTCAGGATTTTTCCTTCATAAAAAAAAAATCGGGATTTAAATGACCAAAAACCAATAAATGCAGAAGGTACGAGTTTAAAAAAAAAAAAATCAACAATAAATTTATAAAGAAATAAGACAAAAACAAGAAACGACATTAACATCCTCAATTCTCTTACTTTCTCAATTAAACGACAGCAAAATTGAAAAAGCGCGAGACTTGAAAAACGACAGCCATTGACTTCTTATTGAGAGAGAAGTTCATTCGCGGACCTGAATTGGGCCGAGGAATTGGGCCGAGACCAATTTCAAGCGAGAAAAGCAGCAGGATTCATGGCGGTGCCGTCGTGAATCTCCGACACAGACAAACTGATAAAGTCACCACCCCGTAATCAGAAACCGTTAGAATCATCAGTTAGTTTCTGATCGACCTAAGAGATGGACGACGAGGCAGAAATATACGACGGTGTCAGAGCTCAATTCCCTCTCACTTTCGGCAAACAATCCAAGTCCGAAACCCCTCTCGAACTCATCCACAACGCCACTCGCCGCCCCGCCGCTGCCGCCGGAAAATCCTCCTCCATCAAGCCCAATGACCTCCCTTCTATCTCCTCCTCCTCCAAGGCCTGGCTCGACTCTCTCCGTAACACGAAAACCCCCAACTCTAATCCTAATTTCCCCCGCGACGACGTCGACTCTCCCACTGTCGGGTCGCCTCGGCCGACGGATGAGGCTGACGACGGCGGTGCAATGATAGGGCCGACTCGGCCGCCGCCGGGGCAAGGTTCCGGCGAGGATGGGGATGACGATGCCGTGATCGGACCGCCACCACCCCCGCCGGGCTGGGCTCAGAGCGATGATGAAGACGAGATGATCGGACCTCCGAGACGGCCCCCGGGGTCGGATGAGGATAATGAGGATGCAGATAATGATGAAGAGGAGAATCGTTATCGAATCCCGACGAGCAACGAGATTGTCCTCAAGGGCCACACGAAGGTATCTTTTTTATTATTATTAGATAAAAGTTTCTTTCTTTACTAAGACGCTTCGATTATCACAAAAGCTTGTTTTGTTATTGAGAACAGTCTGCTAGTTGCTTATGGACATGATTTGTACGGAAAAAAAGCAGTGTCTTTGAACTCCTAGTTTAGGATAATGGTGCTTAGTTGAGAAACTCATTTGGGTTATATTTGAACAGGTTGTTTCTGCTCTTGCCATTGATCACACTGGGTCTAGAGTACTTTCTGGTAGTTATGACTATTCAGTGCGTATGTATGACTTTCAAGGGATGAATTCTCGTTTGCAATCGTTTAGACAGCTGGAACCATTTGAAGGTCATCAAGTTCGTAACTTGAGCTGGAGTCCGACAGCAGATCGTTTTTTGTGTGTGACTGGCTCAGCTCAGGCTAAGGTATCGATGCCATGTTCTTGAAGTTTGTATTTCTTTGAGGATTATATAAACAAGCCATTTATGTTTATCTCTGTTGTCTTCCAGATTTATGACCGAGATGGGCTTACTCTGGGCGAGTTCATGAAGGGCGATATGTATATCCGTGATCTGAAGAATACCAAGGGCCACATATCTGGATTGACTTGGGGAGAGTGGCACCCTAGAGCTAAGGAGACGGTATTGACCTCCTCTGAGGATGGATCATTGCGCATATGGGATGTAAATGACTTCAAAAGTCAGAAACAGGTTAGTGTAACATGTTATCGGCCGTTGCTTATAAAGTTCAATAAATGCTACATGGAAGCCAAGAAGTGGCTATAGTGTTGTTTGCTTCTTTTGTTGCTCATTATTTCAGTCTTTAAAATGAGCTTCATTGCAGATTTTGATAATATATGCTGTGGAGACTTTTGATTATAGTTGATGAACAAGCATTCATCTGAGTTCTGAATATTATGTTGAGCTTGATGTTGAACCCAAAAAGTCCCTTTAACTGTATGTGTAATAATTCAATGAATAGGTCATCAAACCAAAACTAGCGAGGCCTGCAAGAGTTCCAGTTACCACGTGCACTTGGGATCGTGAAGGAAAATGCATTGCTGGTGGTATAGGAGATGGTTCTATACAGGTATTGCATTCTTTACCTGCTTTCTGGCTGCAGATGACTTCATGTTTTATAAGACTTTTTTCTCTTTAGTCTTTTTGACAACAGAATTTTTCATTACTAATGACTGAGCAAGAGTTTTATGGTGCCATTTCCGAAAAGATTCTTCATATCAGCGTCTTCTCACATTCCTTGTGTACATCTTTTATTCTCACAGATATGGAACCTCAAGCCTGGATGGGGGAGTCGGCCAGACATATACGTTGAGAAGAGCCATTCAGATGACATTACAGGGCTTAAGTTTTCTGCTGATGGGAAAATATTACTATCAAGAAGCTTTGATGGGACGTTGAAGGTAATCTTAATCTAACAAATGTCTAAGCTCGTATTGCTCTTTTAGTGTCGTCACATGCATCCATTTCCGATATTGTGCAGTGATTTTCCCCTTTTACCCATAATTTGTGGTCAGGTTTGGGATCTCCGCCAGATGAAAGCACCTGTTAAAATTTTTGAGGATCTCTTTAACCACTATGCTCAAACGAATATCGCTTTTAGTCCTGATGAGCAACTTTTCTTGACTGGAACATCTGTTGAAAGGGAGAGCACTACTGGAGGTTTGCTTTGCTTTTTCGATCGAGCAAAACTTGAACTTGTTTCAAGAGTTGGGATATCCCCAACTTGCAGCGTTGTACAGTGTGCTTGGCACCCAAGGCTGAATCAGGTATAGCTTGCTTGTTTAAGTCCGAACGTCATTCGTATAGCTTGTAGATGGATTTTTGATATACTTCACAGCACAGATGCGTGAGTGTCATATATTTTTTGCTGCTTATTATGTGAGATAGATGAACTGAAAGTGTACCTGTTTTTCTTTGCATTGAAGATCTTTGCGACATCTGGAGATAAAAGCCAAGGTGGAACTCACATATTATATGATCCAACCCTCAGTGAAAGAGGAGCTCTTGTTTGTGTTGCACGTGCACCAAGGAAGAAATCCGTGGATGATTTCGAGGCAAAACCAGTCATACACAACCCTCATGCTCTGCCCTTATTTAGAGATCAACCGAGCCGCAAGCGTCAGCGAGATAAGATATTGAAAGACCCTCTGAAGGCCCACAAACCTGACCTCCCCATGACAGGACCTGGCTTTGGTGGAAGGGTTGGCACAACTCAAGGAAGCTTATTAACCCAGTACCTCCTCAAGGTAATATGTTTATTCTTGTCTCCGTTCCGATGCTCATCTTATTTCTATTTCTACTTAAAGAGGCTTATGATTCGAGTTCTATTTGCAGCAAGGAGGTATGATCAAGGAGACATGGATGGAGGAAGATCCAAGAGAAGCTATACTCAAGTATGCTGACGTTGCAGCAAAGGATCCCAAGTTCATTGCCCCAGCATATTCAGCCACTCAGCCAGAGCCAGTTTTCGCAAAGTCAGATTCGGAGGATGAAGAGAAATGATCTGATTGCTCTGCTTATGGTTCTCCACAGCAAGTATGAAGGCCTATGCCTGAGACAGAGGACGAAGCTGCAAGTGTTATTTGGCATTGGTACTTTCCAGTTTCCCGGGGTGAAAAGAAGGAAAAAATCCACCTTCTGTAGGAATGGCGTGTGGCAATTTCCAGAATAGCAGCATGCGGTGGCGGAATTAGGAAATTTTTTCGGGGGAGGAGGAATTTTAGACTAAAGTACAACTATATTTTTGTAACTAGCTTTACAATACCCAAATTGTAGACTTGTATAATACTACTTCCATTTATTTTTTTGTTTATTTGGCATTTTAAATTTGAAATAGGAATACTTAATATTTGGGGTGTCATAGAGAAGTTTTAAGAAAATGTCTTCTACATGTCATGCGAAAGAGCAACAGCAACCTGTACAAGTTTTACAACGCCAAAAAATTTCTCCCATATTTTTTAAACTGTTCACCGAAATTTCTATAGTTCTAAGGTCCCTCGACATCTTTTGGGTGTGAAAAACTCTCCCAGTATTTACCAAAATTTCCTCAGAATTTAGAGAGGAACTATTTCACACCTAAAATATAATTAGAGACTTTAAAAATTCTGAAATTTTGGGGAAAAGATCAGAGATAATATTTGCCCATGCAGTTAAATTTTAAATGTTAATTATTACTTATTGCACTCCTTTTATAATTCCAAAAACAAACTTACCATTTTTTTGTCAAATGTGCATGAACTTCATTTCCCTAATTGATTTGTATATAAACGATTAACAGCGACGATAAACGATCATATATAAACGATTGGGACTCTCAAATTCGTTGATGGGTTCATACAAATCATATATAAATGATTTATATGGATGTATAACTTTTTCTTTAGAAATACGGGTAGAAGCACAATAGCAATGACAATTTGTATCCCATAATCCCAAAAAATAAACACATCAATTCGTATATACGAAACGACAAAAATTAAATAAAAAAAATACAATAATTCTAAAGAAAAAGTAAACTCTGTATAGCTTTGTAGAAATACTCTTTCACATTGTAATTGATCCCCATTATTTTTGAAAAAGTAAGACAACAATAATTTATAAAAAAAACATTTTTTTTTTATTTGGGGTGTATAATGAGTATCTTTTTTCAAAATATATATGCCCTTAAAACTAATTTTATTAATGGGTAATTCATTAATAGGCTAATTTAGTAGAAAATGGTATATAAAAAGTAGAATAAGCTCTGTCAATAGACACACTCAAAAGTATTTTATTTTATTAGTATTTCCTAAGCCTCCTATGAGTATATTACCATTTTAAGTAAATGATTGAAAGAATTTACAATTTCTCATTCATGGAAATCCAATACGAAGACATCAACAAACTTATATGTGGCATGTTCAAGACTATATTAAACACTATTCAAGTGACATGATATCAATATCACTTGAATCGACATGAAATTCAAAACATGTTTGAGCCTCACATTTTTCATTTTGATATTGAGAAATCCCATATAATGAGGTTTTTCATCTAAAATATGTTTATTTATGTATTTTTTTATGTTTATTTTATCCTAAAGTATCAGAATAGTTAGTGTAAATTTTCATGCTTTTTGAAAATTTTCTCGATGTACCATCAATATTCGATACCTTTTTTCAAAATTTCTATAAAATTGAAATATCAATATTTTCATCCTTGAATATTCTATGCTATCTTTCTATACAGATCAATGTTACCGTCTTTTCAGTTTTTTTTTTCTCTTTTCATTTTTAGTAATTTTTGCTTCTAAGAGGCAATAATAAAAAAGTAGTTCAACCATATGTTTAAAAATTATTCTCGGGAGGACTATAGAGATAAAAGTTCAAGGTAACATGAAAAGAGAGATGAAATCTCAACTTTTTATCGGAAAAATATTGAAAAGAAACCGAGGATACAAGTAGATCGTCTATTTCTCCTTTTTCTTTTAGCTTTTTCAGTTAAAATGCTCATTTTGAACTTTACCTTCAGCTTTGCATTCTGTGAGAGATCTCAAAATGTTGCATTCTGTGAGAGATGACAAAATGTACACTAACAAATTGCCGAAGCTAAAAATTTGAGATCAGGAGGAATTCCCTTCAAGAATGTTTTATTAACTTAACTGACATTTACAAAAATTTCAAATTTAAATGAAACTATAATATAGCCAAAATATCATATCCCCATAAAAGACTGGGTTATGATAATTTCTTTACTGGCTCCTGGATTGAAAAGGGTGTGGGGGATTTTGTAAACTATAAATTTATAACCAACAACATTATGATACATGAACGTTTAGTTCGTGGATTCAAAACCATGATTCAGAATCATTCTCGATTTACGTCTATTTTTTGTGAGAAAAAACACTATAGCGAGTCACGAACCATTATCCGAACACGGATTATAAGCCAATTACCCTTCACACTTGAAAGAACTGTTGGCAATTTGAGCCAAATTGGGAAACTCATCTGCAACTTCCAATCTTCAATGACGCCTTTATATATTTTATAACCAGATTAAGTTATGAATATCCACTCTCAAATCTTGACAAGCGCGAGTCTGATAGAACGCTGAACATTTGAGTGTCTACAAACAACTGTAAAGTCGAAACCCAAAGCACGAGCGATGAACACGAAACACCAGATAAGCAATCCAAAAATGAAACTTTGTAAAAGTATATTTCTTTACTCTGTGCTTCTCTCATCATGAAGAATGTGACGAAAATGCAATAGGTACAGGCAAAATTTCTAACGAACTATAAATTACCTTGATATATGGCTGGTCTCTACTAGGAAAGGAATCTATAAAGCTATCCTTGAGAAGTAAAGAAACCTGAAAAGTTAGACAGAAATTTTAACGTGAAAACACAGAATTTAATCAAGAGCTTTACATATGGATTTCACTGTGTTTCGCAATTAAAGAACTAAAACGAATGTGGTATATTAATAATTCAGTTTTTCTACCCTATCATTGTTTGATTGTACGCTTGTAATTGTATGCAACCTCAGATCTGCACAAAGTGACTCCAAGTAGCCCCTCATAACTTTTAAAAACTGGCCTGCAGCTTCGGCCTGCAAACAAAAGCTATATTAGTTACTAACTTTACCACCAAGAAAGCAAACGAAATACAATATAGAAGTTAATGATTTTTCCATATGATTTAAGGAAGTAATCATATTAAGGACTGATCTGCCCATCGAATTTTCATAATCATATTAAGAACAACGCACGTGTCCCTTAGATCTTGTGGGAAAGATAATTTTCTGCCTAAATCAGAGCTGATTTGGCGTATTGAAAGTAAATTTCCTGATTGTTAAAGAAAGAAAGCATAAACACCAAGCATACAGGCACAACAGTAAAAACTAAAAACCTGAGTTTCGCTGCACCTATGTACAGGATGCCTCTGAGCCATAGAATTTTCATGTGCCAATCTAGCATGGATAGGAGTTAGTGCGGATGCAAGCTCTTTATATCTCGGAAGCATTGGCAAGCTGCACATTTTCACCTGTTTGAAGTTTGAACAAATATGTAAGAGTCGGAATACTAAAAAGGGTTCAGGTAATCAATTATACCAAAAAAATATTACAAATAACGTCGATGTTCTCATAATATCAAATTAGCTACGACAGTGTCATAATTTTTTCTACTCTAAAAAATGCTGGCATAGCAAAGAATTTTACGTAAACTGTGAGACAATCTGAAAAAATGAAAGTACAAGAAAATAAAGTAATTTGTAAATTGTTTATTCTTAAGAGAAAAAAGCCCAAGCAGTACGCTTTCTGGATCCAATAGAATGTATAAGCTGTATAAGAAATAACAAATCATAAGCTTTAGAATGATTAACTGTTTTATATTCAAGAATACCAAAACTCAAACACATTTGCTATTTTCTACCACGAAAATGTCATGAATAAAGAATAATTGAAGAGTATATCATTTAAACAAACCTGGTCCTTGAACACATTAACTTGAACAAGATTAGATGCTTTTATTTTCATATCAATCGGTTTATTTAGCAATCCAACCTGCAAGTGATAAACAAGAAAGAAACTAATGTTGAAAACGTCGATATGACTGGGGCCTTTCCAGACTCTTACATTTGGCAATGGGCAGTAACATATCATTCATCGTGATACTTGTTAATTATTAACTTGGTAAATACATGGGTTTCAGAACTCCATGAAAGGAATTAGAAATCAGAGGCTGTTGAATAGTACATCTGACTTAATATGATCCTAAAAAGTACTTACGTGCAAGTTATTTGTAAGCAAAAAAATTTAAAACGATGTAGAAAACTCACAATAAAGGGAACTGGTGCATCAAGAAATTCAAGCATCCGTCCTGGTAGAACCTGAAACGGATCAGAGAAATTTAGCTTAAAGACTTTAACTAGTCATTGACAAAGTATTTATCCTCAAGAAATGTACCATTAAACTGCAAGTGTAACTTACAGGAAGCATTAAACTTTGCCATTGAAACGGAAGAATCATGGGAATGAGAGATAGCACTGTAGCTGATAGCACACCCTGAATTTGTTCAAGTGAAATGGTTATGATCCGAAAACGAATAAGCAAAAAATAATTTGCCGGAAAAAAAAAAAAAAAACTGAAATCAAAGTTGGCATAAGAAATACAGAGAGTAAAACTTACTGACCAAGTTTGGACACACAACAACAACTTGTTTTTCCAATAACACACCAGCTAACAATGCCAAGACCTGGAAGAAAGAATAATTATCAAACTCCAAAGTCCTAGCAACACGCAGAGTTACTTACTGAAGCACATTAGCCATTAGCCTTGAATATTGTTCTTACACTTTCAAGGGACAGAACACGGCAAATTGTTGCGGTTGTCCATAACGATAGTGCAAGTGCTTCTTCAGCAGCAGCCAACTTGAATTTGACCTATAAAAGAGATCAATAATATTGGGTCAAGATGAATGATAAGATGCATAGCCTACATTTAGCAGCAATGAAGAACGTACTTCGGCGGATTCAGATGAATTCGAATATTTTTCATAAAAACCAAGGGTAGAAGCCGGAAGTCTCCTGTATTCAATCGACTGTAAATGTTCAAGAGGTTGAAAGACCAATTCACTTCCCCTTGCAGGAAGAGGCAGAGCATGATATCCACAAATAATCTGTAGCAAGTCGTTTTTGTTTTCCTATCACAAAAGTCAGACAAAGACGATCAATGGTAATCAAATATCACCTACTCTAAAATATACAAACAACATTAATCAACCAACCTTGGCCCATTCCATTATTAAGTCGTCACCAAGATCTTTCTCGAAGTATGAGAATTCATCATCATCATCCTCCAATGTCATGCTTCTAACTGGACTGCAAAATATAAGAATGTATAATTTATCACAGACAAAACTGCTTATATTAAAAAAAAAAAAAAAAAAGAAAGAAAGAAAGAGAGAGAGAGATGAGGCCTATGAGAGTAGAAGTAACAAAGGCAACGTTAATTAAAAAGTAAAGTCATTGTTACACATATATTTACTAATAAGAGTTGCAGAGTTTGTTCATTTAGTATTTGAACTCATGTCACTACTGATTTTATTTACCACCTGAATAAGGATTCTGAACTCCCAAGGCGCTCCAATGAACAAAATCTAGAGGAGAAAGACGCCCTAACCTCTGGAGAAGAATAGCCATTTTCATAGCTTCCACACATTCTTTCCAGAGTATCTGAACGAGTTTCTGAGGCCTCAGAAGAATCATCAAAATATTGTAAATTCTTTCTACCATCTTTATCTAAATCCCTTGCTTGACTAAATTCCGAAGATTCACTAGCGGTAACACTTTCAGGGGAGGGAGGCTCCCATATCCTTAATGAGGATATTGGAACCCCATTACCAGGAATAATTCCAGCTGCAGCAGCAGTAATAGCCACTGCGCTATCTACAGGTATTGCAGAACTCATCCAATCGCCAAAAGACTTTGCCTCAGGTGGTTCAACATTCTCATCCATTTGATCATTTGCTCTGGGAGTTGAAGGCACATAATCATAAAGAGACATTTCACTAACAAATTCTGTTATTCGATCCAGACGCTGCTGTGAGATGATGCTGCATCGAAGTAAAATAACAGTTACTTGTAATGGAATAATTAAAACAGATCAAAAAAGGAAGCTGAAAATGTCATTTACTGACTAGCCATTTTACTTTTGCATTTACAGACGTATTATCAATTATGATTTATGGCCAATCCTTCAAGTCTTCGAAAAAAAAAAAACCTGTTCAACATCTCATAATGTAATTCAAAGAAAGGAACTCTTGTTAGCACACAGTAACAGCGAGGTGCAGACACCAAAAAACGGTTGCATCCTGCTGAGGAATGAGAAAGGGGAGATGAGACGCCCAAGATACCCGGGGGCCTCTGTACTATTTCCATGACATGTAAGCAAACACCGTAAAGTGTTGCATTGTCTGCCACCTGAACAAGAAGAAAAGAACATTTTAAGCAACCATCAACCTGTCTATCCTTTGAAACACAATTATACAGAACGTTTTGAGCAACCATCATCTAGTGTATCTAATGTAACACCAGTAAACAGCAGAGGAAAAAAGTAGAATGAAAAAGAACTGCATTGAGAAAAATTGATGATTCTCATAAATACAAAAAGAAGTATACATTTATACAAACCTAAGGAAAGGTAACTCTCTCATTTAACGATATAAACCTAGAACATAGCATACCTTGAGGGAAAAAATGAATGATAGATCATCCCTGCCCAAATGCTCCTGTCGAGAAAGCAGAATAATGAAAATGTTATTTGTTTGTTCCAAGAAGCAAGGGCACATGGAAAAATGCTAAATCTTTCCTAAATAGAGACTAAAAGAACGTAATACCTGTCCATAAATAATCTCATTTAGATCACTTAGTGATGGGGTTCTCTCCAACAACTGTGCCTGTATTATGCAACCCACAAATGCAAGTATGAGGGATGGCAAACAAATTGACTGAAAGTTATATAGATACTGTACAACAACAACATGAAGAAGAATAAAAATAAGTGATTTCTCAAGAATAAAAGCAAATGATGACAGAAACGGCTGACATGTGGTAATCCCTCTAGACTGAACTTTTTATTTAGGCTCACGATGTGCCTCATACATATCTATCAACAAGCCAAAGCAAGAAGCTAGCGGATATTAACATATCTTGAGCTGAAAGTCGACATGGAAAAAGATTGTAGAGAACCTAGTCTTGCATTGCTAGTATGATACAATATCAGAAATACAGACCTTAACTCCTCCAGGGAAACAGAAAGCAGCTAAATCCTTCAAACGCATTGCTAGCCTCTTCCCAGGAGGATATTTGAAAAGTATCTGTGAATGCAAAAAGAATTAGAGAATATTTTTATAATCTCATGGAAATAAACAATGAATCTTTATCCTTTATACAAAAAAGTAAATCTGTAATAGGATTAATGCCATTATGACGTCAACCTGAGGTTCCAGTGTAGGAAGTGAAGGCCTCCGCTGATGCTGCGTATTAAAGTCCATTATTTCAGATTTTGCCATCTCCATCTCCCACTTCTTCCTTTTAGCAAATGCGTCCTCCACCGTCTCAAGATTAGTGTCTGGATGAAGCCCCACAACTATGAAGTGTTCAAATAGTGAGGTTGGTTCCTTGTAATTTGTATGATCCTACAATGACACCTTTTCATGTAAAATCCAGTTTCCAAAAATCTCCATCCCATATAATCCAGTTGAAGGAACAAGAGCAAATCTTCCATGGGAAAAAAGAAAGTTCGCTTATCAACCAAAAGAGAATACAATAAACTCAGAAGGGGAATATGCAAATGAAAACTTGACTACAACAGACCAAGGTTGAATTGTCATCCAGCTCTACTCAATTTGATAAAACTTCTATAATACAATCCTGGTAAAGATTCTACAGAAATATGTAAAAGAAAATGAAACCAACAGACCAAGGTTCGCTTATGTAAAAGAAAGTTCGCTTATCAACCAAAAGAGAAAACAATAAACTCAGAAGGGGAAGATGCAAATGAAAACTTGACTACAACAGACCAAGGTTGAATTGTCATCCAGCTCTACTCAATTTGATAAAAACTTCTATAATACAATCCTGGTAAAGATTCTACAGAATTATGTAAAAGAAAATGAAACCACTAGTCATCCAGAGGGTAGTAAAGCTACACGTTCACATTGACAAGGTCTTGAGTTCTAGTCACATTAAACAGGGTATATAGTTAGCCACAGGTATCCATATACCACGCGGGGATGCAGGGCCTCCCAGCAATATAATCACCCTCTCATCTATCCCTACACACCTTTTTTCTTTGAATAAAAGAAAACAAGAAAAGATACCCAAAAAAAGAAAATTCTAAAACATAGAATACCAGGACTTTGGAGTGAAGCTGATACCACTGGCGTTTCTGGTTGGCCAAGACCTCAGGATTGAAACTCGACCGGCGACCTTCTTCCCGCAAATTGCTTCTCCATTTCCAAGCCTTCTGCACATGACTCTTCAACCTGTGAAAGCTATTACTACGCCTGTGATCCGTCCCCAGTACTTCACTTTGTGCTCGTCTGTGCCCCGGTCCCGAGGGCGGCACGTTCGAATTCCCCGAATACACACTATGAAGAGCTTCCCCAGCAACTTTAAACGCCTCCTCCGACAAATGTTGCAGTACCCAAATAGGCGAAGAAGGCCGATCTTCATGAACTTCCCCATCTTCTTTACCATCCATCATTTTAAGCATTTCAGCTCATATTTCTAATAAAATCATTTCACCAAAATTAACCTCTAACTTCCACTTCATTGCATAAAATTTCAACCTAATTGAACCTAAAATACAAACAAAATCGTAACAACTTCAAAATGCAGTCGCTATTTTCCCCTTAAATTGACTTGATCCTTGATTTTACAGATACCAAGATCACAATTACACCCAATATGCTCAATTAACCATGAAAATGATCTTTTTTTCACGTAATCTTCACTATTTTGGAAGAATTTTTCACTTTCTCGAGCGTAGAACCGAAACCTGATCGCAAAAAAAATCGAAAGCGTTACAAATATAGCAAACTTCTCGTCAGAAGCGAGTAAAACAGAGCGTAAAAGAGCCAAATCAAGCATTTATGATTGTAATATCGAAATGCGAAGTTTTTACATGATTTATAACCGAAACAAAGCGTCAAAGACGGAAATTGATATTCAATAACTGGTAGGAGAAATGAAACTGTCGTGAGGTGAAGAACATTCCAACGGAAGAAACGAAAGAATTAGAGAGAGATTTCGGAGAAAAACGTACCTCGTTTTGGTTCGAAAGCTTGTGTTTTCTAGAGAGAGAGAGAGAAGAGAGAGTTGCTAAATATAGAATGGAGTTTTAGGGAAATGAATGAATGAATGAATTAATGAAGAACAGAAGGAGAGATGCGGTTAGCAAAAAAGCATGCTTTTGAACAGGAGAGGCAACGAAAATGGAAATGGAAATTTGCAAATTAATTAGTGAGGATATCAGGTGACTCCCTGAGTCTTTATAAATATTCATTTATATCCCCCTAGAAAAGAAGGGGAGAAAAGGGATTTTCTTTTTTCCCTCGTGTTATTTTTTATACTAATATGGCGAAAGATGCATGACTCAAAACTAAAAAAAAAAAAAAAAAAAAAAAGGGGTAATCCTTTCTATGCGAGCAAAAAAATAATAAAATAAAATAGAGAAAGAAAGAAATTTTTATGTAATTTTTTTAGGAATAAAAAAAGAAAATTAGCCCACCCCAGTCCCCACCCTTGCGCTCCGTACTTCTTGTTTAGCATATGATCAGTTAATACTAAGAGTTCGTTTAATTTACTGATTTAAATTTTTAATTTGAGTTAAAATGTAATTTTATATGAGAATTTTTTACTGTAATAAAAAAATTAAATTTGACTGTTTCTGATAGCTTTTTACTGTAACAAAATTTAAATTCTAAATTCAAATTGGTAAAATAAATGAAGCCTAAAAATATATTAATTTTCTACTACGCATTTATAATAGTGTCCCTTTTCTTCCTTTTCTTGTTAATAATTAGTTTTTTTCCCTTTGGTTTTTTTTAGAGAAAAACTAGGTAGAATTATTCTCCAAGAACAATTATAAAACTAGAGGGGCATTTATGATATTTGGTGGGAAGTGAAAAACTGGAAAAAAAAAATTTAAAAATAAAATAACTAAAAAACGTAATAACTTCCAATAACGAAAAAGTGTGTTTGACTTTGGACGTAGAAGTGCAATTCCCACCTAAGAAACCGTTAATGCGGTGGTCTAAATAACTAATCTTAAAAATAAAATAAAAAACCTTAGCAGATCTGGACCGTCCATTTCATTCTATTGTCAATCCTGATAAATCCGTCGATGGGGGATTGGAGTAAAATCAGGCCATAACGTGCCCGATTCTGAATATGTGGGATAAGAAAAATCGTTAATTACACTTTCGAATTTGGCGCGTTGTATGCACTTTCTGAAACATGGCAAAGTTAATTTCAATTTCCACAATTATTTTAAGGGCATTCTACTAGTAGGATTAATTTTTTGACTATTAAATTTGATTAAAATCAAATTAGATTGTAAAAATATGTTGAATACATAATTTTTAATACAGATGTGACAACTGAAAAATAAAAAATTACTAATAATTTTTTTTTATCCTTACATAAAAACTCTCTTATTTCAAACCCCCTTTTGATTAATTCCAATTATGTATAATTTGTACATGTCCCAAACTATAAAATATTAATTCTCAAAAAACATTAGGATATTAATCCTAAAAAAAAACTACGAAGTACAATTTACTAACTAAAATTAATTGCAACTTAAAATGACCAAGTTATAAAAAATAATACAATATTTTACTAAAAAGATTAAAAAAAAAACGTAATCTAGTAGTAATTAATCCTCAAGTATTAGTTTAACTCACTTTTTACCCTTTTTCTTGAACTTGTTCCCCTTAAGTTAATATAAACGTAAGGTAAAAATAAAAATTGTTTTAGATACTCCCTAAATATATATTTCTCTAAATTTTCTTTTATTGAATAAGTTTTTTTTTTTTTTTAAAAGAAGAAGAAGAAGAAGAAGAGATCGTTTATTGCATAAGAAGTTTAGGGCAAGACTAAAATCCTCGCTTAATAGTGACTGTATGTTTATAACCCATTGGTATTTCCATTTAATACCCAAATTATAAACGTGAAAAATGTTGAGAAAAGTAGAAAGTGCGGTGCTAAAAACGCGCGACAAAGCGGGTGGAGGAAAGCGTCAACTACAATAAGCAGTACTTCGCGTAAAGCCCTCCAAGGTTGCTCTGCACATGCTGGCTGCTGTACCCTTCTCGAAACTTGTTTCTTTTCAAATTAAATTAAGATTATTTATTGTTTTTCTGTTATATTTTTTTTAACTATTTTCTATTTACTGTTTCTTGTATTTTATATTTTTCTCAAAGGGATTAATATTTAGCTATTATTAAACGATGTACTATTTCACGCACGACTTACGTTGTTTCTTTCTAGTAACTTTACCATGAAGATTCTCATAACGGAATTTTAAAGAGAAGATTTGACATCAACGCGGGAACGTTTAATTTATAAATTTAAAATTATGATTCATAATTTTACGTGTATTTTTTATGAGAGAAAAACACTATAGAGAATTATGAATCATGATTCAGAATCAGAGACGAATACAAGAAATAAACATCCTCTTAAAGATCCGTTTGTTTATATACCCAGACTCAAATTATTAATCTATTACATCATTTTTTTATAAAAACTTTAAATACAATTTAAATTTCAAACGTCATAATTAATAATATTGATTTAAATATACTTTTTAAACGAGAAGTTATTGATTCCACCGTGTTTATTTTCTTTGAGAAATATTGTTATTTGTTAGCACCACTCATTTTATCACTCTTTTTTATCATTATCTCTATTCACATTTTGACATAAAGATTCCACTAATATGATATGTTATTATTTAAATAAAAAATGAGATAATAAAATTCATGTGTCAAACGATGAACGGATAAAATGACAGTTTGAATTATGCTAGCATTTCTCATTTTCTTTTTTATTTATTTATTTTTGACGATAGTGTCTCACTTTTATGTGTTCTTTTAACATGAGAAGAACAGCTGAAACTCATGCACGACATACAATAAATTTGAGGTAATTAAGCCTAATGTTGATTGCTACGTGCATTTTCTTTTTTCCCTTTGGCCTGACACCACTTAGAGGATGTTGACTCAGCAGGGATATGCCCATGCATGCAAAAAAAAAGCCAGAACCCATTATCCAAAAGGGATTCCGCACATATACACCAATAGAGAATTCTAGTAAAACAAAAGGTTCAGAGTTCAGACTAATGGGCTCAATGCGTGACGAAGAATATTCCCTTAATTGTGTATCGATCATCATGACATATCAAACAAGATAATACATATTTTCCAAGTTTACGCTACATATTATATGACTTCTACCTACTATACTTTATTATCTATTTTGCAAAAAGCGTAACGTTTAAGACTATTAGGTCATGTTCATTTCACTAATTCGAGTTTTGTTACAGTAAAAAATTCTCAGAAACAATCACATATAACTTTTTTGTTACAGTAAAAAGCTCACATAAAGTCACATCTCAACTCGAATTAACGAACTGAACGGGCCCTTAGAGTGGTTAGAAGCCAATGACGAAAGAAGAAATGAAAGAATAATCCTTCCCTGAATTCAATGTTCTTTTCCTAACAACGAAAGTTGAAAATTGATGTGCCTCCTAATAGATGACATAGCGTGGTCCACCTACACAAGTTTGGTATTCTACAAGGCCATCTATTATTAGGAGTTCCTTTCAATTATGCCGCGGCCTCAAGCAGGAAAAACCAATAGTGAAAGATAATAATGTTGGTAGGCATTATTTAAAATAGTTTCAAAGGGATTACCTACCAAAATTGATATTTGTCGGATGTACTTGTGGGACACTTTGTTTTTTTTTTTTTTGTCCGCTCTCAATCCCATCTCTCTCACTAATTATTAATAATAATACCTAACAATATTATTATTTACTATTTATTAATATTGAACCTCGCTTTGGACGAACCAAACATAAGTCTCTTCCTTAACTACATTTTGGAACTTCCATCGTCACTCATTTCAATCCAAGCTCGTGGGAATAGAGAAACTAGAAATTAGGCCCTTTTAATCCAATAAGGTGTCGTTTGGGCTTTTTAAAATGCAACATTTACCAACATAGGCTCGATGCTTCTGAAGATCCAAATTGCATGGTCCATTAGCCCTTTGTTTCAACATATGTCATGGGCCTCTTAGATCACCTACATCATCAATAGGCCCAGCTCCGAGAGATACGTTTGTTTTCGGCCACGGACTCTACGCGGCATTGACTGCGATACCCAATCCGAGCACTACAACGTACAAAAAGTAAAAAGTTTAGGCTCAAATTACAACTTTATTAAGTTTATATTCTTTTATAAAATTAGAGACTCTAACTCAAATTTTTTATTACATATTTTTTCACATAAAAATTTAAATTTAATTTTTTATACTATAAAATTTTATCTCATATATATTTATTTTTTAACTCAAATTCTTAACTCAGACGCATAAAATGAGCACCTTACAATTTCAAAATATCCCAAGCTTCCTACTTGGAAACAATGATGAAACTGCGTGTATTGCTAGAAATATCGATTTGAAAAATTTTAAAAATATGGATATAGGTGGAAATATTAGAAATTACTATGAAATATATATAAACTAATTTTAGAACTTAATAATTTTTTTTTTGATGTTTTAGGATATGAAAATACTTTGAAAACATATACTTAATTAAATAAATTTTGCATAAAAGATGATTGAACAAAAGCAAATCTCTTTGAACATGATCGAGATTTCGTCATGATTCAACAAATTTTGAATCAATGATATACTAATTTACGAAGTTACACGTATGATAAATAATAAAAATATGTTATTTAGCTAATAAAACTTTAATAAAATGAATATATATATATATTAATTGTCAATGTTTAATTACGTTTTAAAAAGTTTATGATATTTTTCACATAAGTTGTCTCGATATGTCCATGATATCTTCTGAAATTTTATATAAAAAAACATTATAATCTTACTAAAATCGATATATTATTAATATTTTTTGATATGTAACAAAATTTTTTCTGAAATTCTGACAAATTTTTTCTTGGTGGTAGGGCATATATTTTTCACTATGCCTGTAAAAACTTATATTTTTAATTATTCGATTAATAGCGGTTAGATCTGTGTATGTGTTTATTAAAATTTAACGCAACACAAAACATGTCATATTTCAGACCAAACTATTAAAAAAACTAATTTAACGATTAGAATATAATTTTTATTTGTCTAATAAATGGTGTCTCTACAGCAAATACACTTTTTTTCACGCCTACACTTTTTTTTACAACTAAAAAGTATTTTAAAATGCGTTTAGTACGAGGATTCGTAAAATTTGAACCATAATTTAAATTTAAAAAAGTGTTTATTAGACTTTGATTTAAATCACATGATTTAAATCTAAAAATTCATATTTAAATTCAAAATTAAAACTTTACAATTCAAAACTTACGTGACTCAAACTTAAAAATTTAAGATCATGTTTATTTTATTGATTTAAATTTAAAATTTAAATTTTACTACAATAAAAAATTCTCAAAAACAGCATCTACGGGTTCTAAACCACCGTGATTTTTAAACTCTCATACCAGATCTTAGAGCCTCAGAAATTCTGTAAGAGAATTTTTTGTCCTCGTTTGAACATGGGAAAGAAAAGGATACGTGAAAGAAAATACACTTTTTATTTTCCAAAAACAATATATATATATTTTTATTCTCTATCGCTCACTCTGTCTTGTTACTCAGGTCAAGACCCTTCTTCGCTCTCTAGTCTTTGGCTTCTTTTTCGCTCAGACTCTCCCTCCCTCTCTCTCTCTTTCTCACTCACATTTTTTCGAAAGCGTCACAGAAACGCACGGAACCCGAGGTTTCCTGTTATACTCGGTCCCAAAATCCCTAAAAAACCTAACCATTTTCTTCTTTTGATTTTTTTTTTCTCTTTTCTGTTCTCAGAAATTTTTGCGGCTAAATTATGATCGGCTGTTTTTTTCTACAAGGCATATCAATCATAGAAATTACTTGTGTCGGAAAATTATAAGTATTGTTGTACGATTCCGATGTAATTTTCTTAATTTTTGTTTCTAACCTTTGATTATTATCGTTTTCTAGAATTTTCGCGGCTAAATTATGTTTGGCTGTTTTTTTTCTACCAGGTATATCATTGAAATTACTTTTGTCGGAAAATTATAAGTATTGTTGTACGACTCAGATGTAATTTTCTTAGTTTTTGTTTCTGTACCTTTGATTATTATCGTTTTCTATCGGAAGTGTAAACAAATGAATTTTGGGAGCTTTTCGGTGAGTTTTTATTAGAAACCCTAGTTTTTGGAAGTTTTGTTTATGGGGTTATGGATCCGGGGCCTCTGGTGTTTGATATAAGCTCCGATGAAGAATCTTCCGGGCACAGCTTGCCCAAAGGCGAAGACTTTGATTGGCTGGCGGAGTTTTTCTACTCCAAAGACAAAGAATCGGACGATGATTCCGATGATGTTGTGGTTGTGGCCGAGGTCAAGCCCAAGCAGAGGTCAAAGTCTTCCAAACCGACGGTGAGAGATGTGGACGTGGACGATGACTGTGTTATTTTGGATGGCGACCCCGATAAGCCTGCCGGGGTCGTTGATGACTTGGCGAGTGGCGGCGAGGACGACTTGCTTATCGTCGGCGAGAAGGGTCAGGTATTAAGCAATGAACTTTATCATTTCATAAGAAATTACCGTAATTGTTTTTTTTTTTTTTTTTTTCCCTTTTTTTGTGTACCTTGTTTGGTTGCTGACAGACGAGTTTGAAAGGAAAGGAAATTAACTGCCGGGCTTTGCTTGCACTTTGCACCTGCTGTTTGGTTAAACATTTTTCTCTTTCGTTTTTTTTTTGTTTGCCTTGTTTGGTTGCTAAGAGAATTGCCCTCTTTACGTTAATGAGATTAGCGCCTATATATTTTTAATTTTTTTTAACATGTAATGACGAAACAACATTCTAGGGGTTGATTTTTGGACTCAGCTGATGGTGACAAGGAAGCCAAATAATCATTTGCTATGTTGCTTGGATGATACTTGTGTATTGGATGACACGCCAATGAATGGTCATTTGGAAAGTTAGATTAGATGTCTTAGGGTATATATAAAGAATAACTCTTCATGTTGTTGCCTAGTTCAGCTTCATGGAAAGTTATTGCAGGGTTTGAACTTGCTGAGGCTAGTGGGAAGATATGGACTTCGGCCTTTGGGTTGGTAATCCCATGATTCCCATCTGCTGGATGTGAAATATTCCTTGCTTGAGCAAGCCAAGAAATTGGAATAGAACTAGCGGCCATGGTGAGTGCTAAGATTATTGAGAAAGGTATGGGGTGAGAATCAGAACCTGAATTGGGGTTCATCGAAGATGTTGTTTTAAGAAAAGTATAATCCCGTTCAGACATTAGTCTTGCAGCTTTTTTCAACGGAAACAGTGGAAAACATGTTTGCATTTCCCATTTGGTTCATTGTCAACTGCTAACCAGCTTATTTGTATTGGTATAAATATATAATATGGAGCTGAGATTGAGGAAATTGTCATGTTGTGGGGTCTTTAAGGGATTTGGTTTCTTAAGGGAGGGTTTGTGATAATTGATACACCTGGTACTGACGAGCTACCCCTTGACAAAAGCACAGACCCATCTCCGGCTGACTCTCCTGGTCACCGAAACACGGGTTCTTGAAGGGATTTGGTTTCTTAAGGGAAGGGTTTGTGATAATTGATTCTTATATGTATATCAAATTTCTTCTTCTTGTCATTTCATCTTACATTGCCAAATTCAATATCGTTTGATTTTGACTGGGTAGAGATGTTGGTGCCTCGTGTGCAATGACATTCTTTAATTCTTCTTAAATTTTCGCTGCAGATTGCATGCAGAGACTATCCTCATCCTCGACATCATTGTGTCACGTTTCCTTTTAGTGCTACCCCACATGAGAAGCACTGTGACCTGGTAAGATGACTATTACAAGCTGTGGCGTCAAGAATTCTACTATATTCTATTGCTAATTGTTTTACAGTTATCTTACAATTGCTTTTAACAATGTCCTTGAACATATGCAGTGTCATTGCTATGTCTGCGACTCACCTGCACCCTGTGTGCATTGGGCAACAAGTGCCTCCAGCATCGACCATTGCCACGCCACTGACAAAGAGGAGATATGGAAGATCCAGAGGAGAAACTTTAAGTTGGGTAAAAATGCTCCATTACCAGCCTCCACTAAAGTTTCTGATACTCTGCGTTCGATGGGTCTGCCTCAACTCAACCCAATTTCATCGCTCAACATTATTCAGTTATCACCTAACTCAAGATCACCGAGTCATGTTTCCAGGCCTTCTCCTATTCAAGGTTGTTCCCCAACGAATTTCTCTGTTCCTACTATACTAAGCCGAGGTAGGAGCCAGCCCTTGGGACCAGGTTTGTATAGGAACAGATTGCAACCCCGCATAGTTTCAGGAGGGCAGTCGCTTGGTGTTAATCGTAACATCAGAAGGGGGGGCCCACGTCATGTTAATTCAGGTCATCCTTTAGTCTCTTCTCCCACGATATTTAAAAGGTCAGGAAATGTTGGGATTGCCTTGCCAATGAATAATTCTACGTACTATTCACCAAAAAGTAGGAATCATGCTATTGGTACACAATATGCTAGAAATCCTACTCCGGCAACAGCGTTGAATGACATGAATTCCATCAGGTGGGATAATGTTAACTCCAGCATGCATCAACGCCCCTCCGAGCCCAACTTGGGAAGCACGGTTTTAAACACACCACCTTCCCAACCCAATATATATACTTCCCCTATTCCTCCATCAAATAATCCTCAGAATTTCTATCAGCATGGGAATCAGTATCAGAATAATGACCAAAGTATCTATCAGAATGGTAATGGCACTCAAAACCCGGTGGAAAGTGACTTTCTAGATGGCATAGGAAGTGCAAGTGTAAACGACACTAGTTCTGTGGATTATAACTCAAGTTGGGTGAACAATACCAGTCAAAGCATGCAACAACCTCCAGTTGAGCATCCTCAACCTCAAAGCACAGAGTCTCTTTATGAACCTTCTAATAAGGAGTCAAGTCCCCAGTTCGATGTAAGAAGCACTAATTTTAGCGCAGATTTTGACTTTGATGACTGGTTGCTGGAAAGTCAATCTGCTCCTGTGGTTTCAGACGGATCTATACCTCCTCATTCTAACATCTTCTCTCCGGAGCCTCCTCCCATCGATGCAGGTTTGCTTTTGTTCGACTTTGAAACCTCCTGGAACGGTCTCAACCGTGCATAATGTGTCTCTACACTGTTTAGTCATGCTTCTTGAAAAGCCATGAAGCCCGAATCGCTGAGCCTTTCAGGTTTTGTGCTTCTCTTGTAAATAATTGGAGCTGGTTAATTTGTGCTGGGCAGAATAAGCATCCCCATTAAAAGCTGGAGGAGCTTTTTTAGTACTTGGTAGTGTAAAGTTATTTTGTAGTATTGATGATTACGAATACGAAGTGCACTTTCGTTATCGCTAGGTTGGGAATTGGGATTCTGTCTGGAGGATTAGAGGCTGGTTGTTTTTTGCCCCTTGATCCTTCTGCTCGTCAACACCACATATGATGAGATTTCTTTTTGAGATTTCCTTGTGTTAGTACCCCGTTTCTAATCTGTGAAGTCTTTCCCACTTGGGTATTGCTTTTATCAGACTGTTATATTGTTTTTGATGGATAGAAGTTAGAAGAGAAAATTAAGGATCGTAAGTACCGTAAGGCCCGTTCATTTCGCTGATTCGAGTTTAGAATTTGAGTTTTGCTACAGTAAAAAACTTTCACAAATAATCACATTTAACTTTTTTGCTACAGTAAAAAGCTCTCACATAAAATCAAATCTCAACTCGAATTAAAAACTCGAATCAGCGAACTAAACTGGCCCTTGTATAATTTTTTATTCTTCTAGAATTTGGCTTCCCAACGTTTGTGTTTTATATTCGTTTTTGATTCTGAATCATGATTTATGGTTTTTTACAGTGTTTTCTCTCACAAAAAATATACGTAAAATGAGAATAATTTTGAATTATAATTTTGAATACATAAACTAAGCGTTTTCTTGTTTTTTGTATTCGTTTCTGATTTTGAATTATGATTCATAGTTTTTTACAATGTTTTTCTCTTATAAAAAATACACGTAAAATAAAAATAATTTTAAATTATGATTTTAAATACATGAATTAAACATCGTTGTTCAATCAGAGGAGCATCCTCTCAAGGCTTAACCGTTGGTAGCCCATAGAATGGAAAAAACTTGTAGAAGGAAAAAGACGGCATTTTGATGTAGAGCGGAGAAGTTTTCTTACCCAAAAAAAAAAAAAATCTTTTTTATTTATTAAAGAATTTCTCGTCTCTTGTGTAACATCGAAGTTTAAGTTAGGGGATGTTTGGTTGGAGAATTTAAATCATAATTTGAATCATAGTTCATGATTCATTATAATATTTTCTTTCATAAAAAATACACGTAAATTAAAAATGGTTCTAATCACATGATTTTAATCCATAAACTAAACGTCTCCTTAGTGTTTATTTGTTTATTTTTTTTTTTTGTTGCGACTAATATTGCTTAGAAATGCCGTAAGAAATTGAAATACGAGAAACAAGAGAAGATTTTTTGGGTGCGTTTGGAATTCGTTTTAAAATGATTTTATTTTTTATATGAAAATGAAAATAAAAACATTTTCAATCTCAGCAGAAATCATTTTTAAAAATGCGTTTGGTAGTTTTATCAAGAGATTATTTTCAGTGTAAAAAAACTCATTAATGTCTCTCTTTCTCTCTCTTCTCGAGAGAGGAGATAACGAAAACAAAAAAATGAAAAATGACTAAAAGTCATTTTTTATTTCTCTCATTTTACACTAAACTAAAAAATCGTTTTTATTTTTATTTTGTCTTTATTACGCCAAACACCGTTTTAGAAACATTTTCATTTTTTCTCGAAAAATGTAAAAAACAAAAATGAGATCAATTCTAAATACGGATTAAAATTTTGACAATTTATTTTTGAACTTTCCAAATTGTTATGATGTGCTTAGCTTCCCATTAAATGGGTGGTGATAAAAAATTTCCAAATCTGATTCAAAACCTAATGGGAAGTTAATATAGTTGCCAAATTGTAATAATTTGAAAATTTTATAGCATAATTTAGAGGGCAAATTTCTAAAGGCAAACAAATTAGGGGCATCGGTGCAAAGTACTTAAAAAGGAGAAGGGGAAAAAAAAATTGCAGTTGAAAGAGTGGTAGTACATGGGTCTCGTTCATTTCGCTGATTTGAGTTTAGAATTTGAGTTTTTTTACAGTAAAAAGTTCTCACAAACAATCACATCTAACTTTTTTGTTACAGTAAAAAGCTCTCACATAAAATCACATATCAACTCGAATTCTAAACTCGAATCAGCGAAGTGAACGGGGCCGTAATTTTATGTGAGAGTTTTTAATTCGAGTTGAGATGTAATTTTATGTAAGCTTTTTACTGTAACAAAAAAGTTAGATGTGATTATTTGAGAGAGTTTTTTACTGTAATAAAACTCAAATTCTAAATTCGAATCAACGAAATGAACGGCTTTGATAGTAGCTTCTGGAAAGTGTAAGTCGGACTTGAAAGACAAGAACAAGCCTAAAAAACTCTGAAGAAGAAATTCGAAGGTCGAACTGCTCTACGCGCGCGGCAACGGAATGGCGCTATGGATGGAAAAGGGCTCCGAACCCCTCACCGATGCCGAGAAAGCCGACCTCGACGCCATCGCCGCTCTCAAAGAGTCCGCCGCCTTTGAACTCAAGGTCCTCTTTCTCGCAAATATGAGCTCTTTTTTGTTTCTTTACTGGAAAAAAAGTTTTGAGTTTTTCATGTCTTATTATTGGGTTCTCAGGAAAAGGGCAATCAGTACGTGAAGATGGGCAAAAAGCATTACTCAGATGCCATAGACTGCTACACGAGAGCCATCGATCAGAAAGTTCTGAGTGATTCCGAGACTTCTCTCCTCTTTTCCAATAGAGCTCATGTCAATCTTCTTCTCGGCAATTACAGGCGTGCTCTTACCGACTCCGAGGAGGCCCTTAACCTCTCTCCCACTAATATCAAGGTTTCGTTTCTCTCTTTCTCTCTCTTGAGTTTTTTCTTTTTTTTTTTTCGTTAAGAAATTTTGAGCAAACTGTTTGTTAAATTGTTAATGATTATTTAGGCGTTTTATAGAGCTGCGAAAGCGTCGTTGTCGTTGAATTTGCTGTCGGAGGCGAAATCCCATTGCGAAAACGGAATTAAGCAGGACCCAGATAACCAAGAACTGAAGAAACTCTTAAGCCAGATTGATTCTCTCAAGTTGGAACAAGAACAACGTCAGGCTCAAGTTTCCATGGCCATTTCCGAGGCTAAGGTTTGATAATTTGCAATGCTTGATTGATGCAGAACTTTGTTTGATTGTTACGAGGTTCATGTGGTTTTCTCTGATGGGTCACGCAGAATCTTCTTTCTGCGATGGAATCAAGAGGATATAAGATTGGGAAGGCGATGTTTAGAGAACTTGTTGGGTTGAGAAAGCCAGTGTTGGATAAGAGTAACATTCTTCACTGGCCGGTTCTTCTCCTTTATGCCGAGGTTATGTCCAGCGACTTCATTGAGGATTTCTGCGAGACAGACATGTTTTCGGCTCATCTCGATATGATATCCTTAATTCTGTTTTTATATTGCTTTTAAGTCCTTTAACTTAATGAGTTTTGTATATGGTATGTGCCCGATCTATATTTGAGTACATCTTTTTTGTGGTGTCCTTAACTTTCAAACATGTTTTCAGAAAGTTCTCCACCCTTGCCCTGGGATACAGAAAACAACTACAATTGCAAAGATGTTGAAATATACTACGAGGTAAGTAAGACACTGTGCAATACCGATTAGATTGAACTTCACTGGCTTTCGCAAAATATGTTCTGATTTTCTTCCAAGTGTCAAAAGATAGCTCTTTTAAAGTGGTCATCTGCTTATTGTGTTACAGTGAGCTCTACTGCGGACAGTTCTATTATTCATTAGTCTTTGTCTCATCTTGCCGCATCTTTGAGTGATTTTTTTTTTCTTCTGCCTATTCTACATGATCCAACGAGATGGAGCATTTCTATGAAGTCATGATAATACGATAATATAAATTGACAAATTAGGAGCTTTTTCTGCTTGTCTATTAGGTTATTATTAGCTGTGTATTGGGATTAAAATGTCAGGTCTCTAAAATCTTAAGTCCTCGTTGCCAAGTAGCTGTTTGTAGTTTGTAGCTTTTCTTTTTCTAAAATATTAGTTCCTAGTTGATAACTTGATGTGTGTGTGTGTGTGGGAAACCTTTCCAAAACCCGGAACGCGTTCATTTTTCAAGCTTTTTTTTATGTCTTATTTAGATGTTTGAGTAAGCCTTTTTGTGCTTAATTTCATATTCCCGTGTCCTTGGTTTAACAGCCTGCTTCAGGAGCTTGTCTACCAAAGAAAAAAATTCTTCACTATTTCCTTGAAGGTACCGCAGCCTCTAATGTGGAAGACATTGGCAATGAGGAAAAGGACGCAGTTCGGAATTCCAATCACTTACGCCCTTCAGGTAAGCAGTATCAAAAATTGTCCTTATCTCATTTTCTTGCCTTTTCAGCTAGAACACCATCTTATCTGGAACATTTTTCTTGATTTTGCCTCGCGCAAAGGCTCTGCCAAATGGGTCAAAGTAAACGAAAAAAGAACGCTTCATGATGTGCTAAAAGAACCTAACTTCATTATTCAAGGAATCCCAGGTGCGTGTCCTTGATATCTCAATTGAATTTGAAACTATGTAAAATCTCACTTTCTATCAAAGGAGTTACTTTATGCATTTCCATTTCAATTACCTGTTGTTTATGTATGTTTGCTTCACCTGTTGGACGTTGGTGCAGTCTTTTATGTTGTTTCTAAAAAGTCCGACTTCTATAAAAAGTTCAAAGCTGGTCTATGGGCTCCTCCGTCATGAGTAGGCTGCAAATATTCCGACACTGCCTTTTGCTTGCTTTGGTTCACTCTTGAAGACGAGGAAATGGTCGTCATATGTTGATACAAGTATGATTTAAAAGGGTCCTAAGTGTCTATTGAATCATTGCTCTTGTAGGATGTGTTGATCTTGACTTAAAAATGCTTGAATCAAAATGATCAAGATCCCGAGTGAGAAATATTTATTTTGTTCGAGTTGTAGTGTTGTTTAGACTATTATTCACAAAGTTTTGAAGGTTAAAGAAATCAATTATTTTTAATTGTATATTTGCTAAGTTCATTAAAAGTTTGGTGGTTTCATATTTTCTACCACGTTCTAGGTTTTAGTTGATTTTTCATCATTTTTCTGCTTTCGTTAGGGCATGCTTGTTGACTTATCATTTTTAATCTATTTGTAATGAGGTTAACAAGACATAACATAATCTTCTTGTTGAAATATATAACCAAAAAAAAAAAATCTAAAATATTTTACTTGGAGCAAAATGCTGACCTAAAGTGACATAAATACCCTTCTGCAATCCAAAATAATTGATATTTTTAGAACAGTAATTGAGCTACAAAATTCTTTAAAAGTTGTTTCTGTAATAGTTAATTATGATTCAGCATTTGCCTCGTAAATTATTTAAGTACTAGTTCACTGATTCATATGGTTTTCAGGGGAAAAGGAAAAAAGACCAGTGACAAATTTTTTTCATTTTTATTTTTGATACGTTACTGGCAAGTCGGTAGAGCAAAAAACTAAAAATTCTATTTTCTCATAGAACGGAATATTTTTTTCAAATTGAAACCAAAGCAAAAACAAAGGTAAAGGCGAGTTCAACACAACATCCACTTTATTTAGGATATTTTTTGCTTCATTACCACAAGGGGAAAAAGGAGAAAACAAGTTCAGCAGAGCTTACTCACACCAAGGTCTTTTTAACTTCGTCATAACAAGAGAAAAAAAGAAGACAACTTCAATAAGGCACCCATTTTTTCGGTTTCTTAACTTCACGAACACGAGGGGCAATAGTGAAAAGCCAGAGACAAGCTCAAATCCTCGAGGAACCAAGCTCAAATCCTCGAGGAACCGGGAAAAGATGCCCCTCGTGGAAACCTTCACAAATCCATTGCAAGCACACACCTGAGGCATCTTCCTTCATGCATCAGATCAAATGCCTTGTTAATCTCCCCAAGAGTCAAATTGTGAGTGATGTACTCATCAACCTTGATTTCCTGCATTAAAAGGATGAAAAAAAACGTTTTATGTGTGTAGTCCAGGTATGAAAGGAACTCATTCTTTGACATTTTCCATAGTATCCACCTTTTTCATGTACTTGTCAACAAGCCAAGGCACTTGTGAACGGCTCTTGAAGCCCCCAAAGGCAGTTCCTTTCCAGACACGACCAGTCACCAGCTGAAAAGGTCGAGTTGATATCTCCTGTCCAGACGCCGCCACACCAACAATAACTGATGTTCCCCAGCCCTGAAAAGTTTGGTGGAGAAAATAAGATGCATTCAATTTCATAATAGTGCAAGCCACCACAATCAAGAAGCACTCACCTTGTGGCAGCATTCAAGAGCAGCGCGCATCACAGAGACATTTCCAATGCACTCGAAACTGTAGTCAACACCACCATCCGTGAGATCGACAAGGACCTGTTGAATTGGTTTGTCATGGTCCTTTGGATTCACAAATTCTGTAGCACCGAAATTCTTTGCTGCAAGTTAAAATTTGAAACATCAGTCAGCTTTAAAAATCCAATGACGCATGACTCGCTGGTTTTGTGGTAGGGAGCCAGCAAACACATGCTGCTAAAATTTTTCTCCTGTGATAAACAAGAGTAGTTGGTTCTATATATAGAACTGCTAAAAGTTCAGGGTAAAAATCTAGTACTGCCAACCAACCATAAAATAGCTGCAAACAAAGAATACAAGAAGAATCACGAGAAATTTTACCAACATCAAACTTCTTGCTGTCAAGATCTACACCAATAATTCTTGAAGCACCAGCTGCTTTTGCACCCTCTGCAACCTGCAACGTTATGATCACATTCAGTAATTTAAAAGTGAAGCATTCAGCAGAAGAAAATAAACTAAAAAGGCCCACACAAGAAAACTTACCGCAAGGCCAACAGTTCCAAGACCAAAGATAGCAACAATGGACCCTGGTTCTACTTTTGCCGTGTTCCAAACAGCTCCAAGACCTTAAAGATGACAGTCACGTTACAAGCATAACTAAGGTGAGGATATGAGTATTGACAAACAATTCCACACATACAAGAACTTTGACAAACAATTCCACACATACAAGAACCGAAAACCACCGGTAACAATCTAACAGATAAACATAGCTTGCTGCACTATGAAGTACATAACATTGTAAAAGTTGATCTAAGAAAGGACTAAATACTCTAATTAGTTTCAGAAACAGGTTGAATAAAGAACAAAAAATCTTACCAGTTGGAACACCACATCCAAGAAGGCATACTTTATCTAAAGGAGCTTTTGGATCTATCTTTGCAACACTAACATCATGAACAACAGTGTACTGGCTAAATGTTGAGGTTCCCATGAAATGATAGATTGGCTTTCCATTTACAGAGAAGCGGGACTTGCGATCATTCATCATAATTCCAACTCCAGTGGCAGCACGGATTTTGCCGCAGAGATTTGTCTTCCCTGATTTGCAGAACTTGCACTCCCCGCATTCTGCTTGGTAACAGGGGATGACATGGTCTCCAGGCTGAACGTCAGTCACACCTTCACCAACACTCTCCACAATCCTGAATCAAAGTTGGTCAATTTTTTTCATTGCGAAAACAAGACTATTATATATCATGCGCAAAATGAGATACATATAATTACATACCCTGCAGCCTCGTGACCAAGAATGCATGGAAAGAGACCCTCAGGATCCTGCAAGGTAAACAAAGTGTAAGCTGTATTACGACATATGATCTGTAAAAACCATGATAATTATAACGAAAAAGGAAATTATTATTCTTTCTTCAATGTGAAATTTCCTAGATTTTATATGAATTACAGTACCTATAGACCTATTAACCTAATCAACACTTGTAGGAACAAAAGGCATCAGTCGCAGTCGCAGTCGCAGCTATCCAAACACTTACACACCCACACTCATAGAACCAAATTTATTCACCTATCTTAAAACATGCATAATCAATTCCAAGTTTTGGCTATGAACTATAAATCAAATCTTATCCTCAAGAGTGACAACAAGCGGCTCCTTCATACTCAAAACAGAACATTATACCCACTGGAGTGATCCTATGTGGTTGTATGGTTAGCGTAGAATTCACACCCAACACTCTTATAATTGTTAAGATTTGTTTCGAATCCCCTCCCCAAGTTAATAATTAAAAAAAAAAAAAAAGACTGACTCCCATTTGACTATAACTTGTCATTACTGATACCAATTAATAGGATCAGCTCCATTTTCCCGCAACAGACTAAAGAGCCTCTCCATTTTCTTCTGAACAGAGGGTGTTCTGGAAGTGCTTTTCCAGAAAAATTTCCCACAAAAATATAGTATAAAATAAAAAACAGAAAATACCTTTAGATGGAGATATATTTACATAATCGTAATTATTCAGTATCTTAACTTCGCAAATTTCTACCAAGCAACTAGAAAAACAAGAAAAAAAAAATCGCGGAAAACGACAGAAATGCTAAAAATATCGACCTTGCCGCCCCAAGTATAGGCATCGGTGTGGCAGAGAGCAGTGAAGAGGATCTTGATCCGCACCTCGCCGGCCTGCGGCGGAGCAACCTGCACGTCTTCGATCACCAACGGCTTGTTGGGTTCCCAGGCCACCGCCGCTTCGCATTTTCGATTACATCCAAACACATCAAAATCACAACCATTTTTCAGACTTCCAAACAAACAATCACAGATTCAATCAGAAAGAGCCGGAGAGAGAAAGAAGAGTAGCACCTTTGCAGGTGATGACTTGACCTTGAGTAGCCATGGCCGACGAGCTTGGAAAATCGGGAACCACGAATGGACTGAGAGAAGAAAAAGCAAGATGAAAAAATCGTACGGACTGATTGAGAGATCAGAGATACAGAATCGGCGGGTCAGCTGAATAATCAATAATGTATATACACATACGTATATATACACATACGTATATATATGTTGACGATGATGATGAGGAAAAAGAAATGACGTGTTTAAACGTACGCTGATCTCTATATGAAATATCGGGTTGACCAAAAGTAATTTGGATCGACGTTTCGCGATTTTTTGCGATTAAGAAATTGAGAAACAATATCCATGTGCGAGTGTTTGATTGCCACGTGGATATACAGCGACAGCTGGCAATATTCAATTTTGGCTTGCGAGAACCGTTGAGTGGAGGATTTGATGTTCGGGCTAACCGATCAATTATTTTGGACAAGACAACGTTAAGAAAAAGAAAATCTATTACTCATAAGAAAAAGAAAAATAAAGGAAGAAAGAGAAAATTATTAAGGGTTTGTTCTTTTAGAGTTTAATTTGAGTATAATTTTTAAGTTAATTTGAGTTATAACTTGAGTTGAACTTGTAACTTGAGTTTGTATTTGGTTGTGTACATTTGAGTTATGGTTTGAGATAAGAATCTTTTTGAGTTTGTGTTTGAGTGAATCAAAACTTGAATTTATATTTAGATAGTATTTTAATAAAAACTCAATGCTAATGAAAAATTTTAATAAGGTATATGGGTCGGGTTTTATTCATCTTTTCGTTGTCAACGCATAGAAAAAAAAATCATCTCAATCAGAATTAAAACGAAAAGGTTATAGCATTTCTAAGAATAGAAAAAATACTGTTTATTAATTTGAGTTCGAGTTTCTGAACTCGAGTTGAAGGACAAACTTGAACTCGAGTTTTAGTCCTAAACTCGAGTTTGAACTCGAGTTTAAACTTAAAAGAGCATGAACTCGAATAAAGTTGTAACTCGAGTTGCATTTTTTTGAGTTTTTTACTCAAAAAAATAAGCCATAAATTTATTTTTAACGTGCATTATATTAGATTTTTATCTCTTATTGTTAATTAAAACCATCTTTATTAATATAGTTATTTTACTAAAAATGATATTAATTAATAAAAAGGGGAAAAATCATACTTATAGCCTCTAAAAGATATTTATAGAGATGGCAACGGGACAGATTTAGAAAGGAGTAGTCTGTTGGAATATTTTTATGTGAACTTTCATAATCATAATAATTCACTCTGTAATTAATTAAAGTATCTTATGGACAACTGTGTTAATGTGAATTAACACATGCATGTATGTTAAATATCGGTCCATAATAGGATGAACACTTGTTTTATTAACTCGTTTGAGGTATATGAACTCCCTCTATCTCATAATATTTGGTTAGCTTATTGGACCAGATACCCTCTGTAATTGAATATTGGTTAAAGCCAAATACTCTCATTTTTATATGTAGTGAGCCACCCTTTTATTTTTGGTGTGCTTGTGGCATTTTGTGGGGGTGTGGCCAAACAGAGATAGGGAGGGGCTCAATGGCTCCACTTGCCCTTTTTCTTTCTTTTACAGATCTTCCACTCACTCCCAGCCGGCCATCGACGTTTTCCGGCGACCATGAACGGCTTGTCTCCTTTGGCCACCGAAAGAGGTAACATTCTTTGTCCACTAATGTATGCCTAAATCCCAAATAAGTTTATATGGCATTTTTGGAATTTTGGCTAGATTATTATTTTTGATCTTGTTTAGATTGTGTTTAAATTATTTAAATCAAGCAAATGGTATCAGAGCCAACTTATTTGGAAAGTTTCGTGAGGTAATTTGGCCAATTTATCGTGGTTAAGCTTGAAAAAGGCCAGAATAGGTTTTCGTTCTCGTTTGAAATTTTGAGTGTTTTGGATCATTTCGATGTTATGGATCAAAAGAGGATGAAATTTAGAGAAAACCCCATTTGAATCATCAAAAACGGAGTTCCGGAGGCCAAGATATGATCGGGTTAGGTCGCGGGTCCGTTCGGGTCGTTTCTGACCGGGCTGAAGGTTAGGGACGACAAAAATGACAGTGTGTTTTGATTTTTGGTTAAAAACAAAGTTGAGTTTTGTGTTGTTTTGACAAAAACGACGTCATTTTTCTGCATGAGCAAAACGACGTGTCATTTCTAGGGACAAAAAAAAATCAGTTTTGACCAAACTTTGACTGGTCCGTACGAACACATCCGAAGTCCGTTTTGACCGCCGTTTTTGCCGTTACGCTCCATTTTTCATTTCCTACCCAATTAAATGATTTATTTTGGGTTTGGGCCACCATTAAATCATGTTTTTAATATTTTTATGGGTGGCTAATTCCCACATTTTTCAAACAAATTTTTCTTGGGCATTTTACATATAATTTGTTTGATGATTAAATGCCATAAAGTTTTAATTGTATTATTTGATTTTGTATGGCATAGTAAATTTTAATTGTGAGAATTCGACAATAGTGAATGTTTATGTACGCACATGTCGTGAGTCTAAACATGTCAAATTGTCTGCGTATGTTACAGAGCTCTCCCACAAAATTTAACATTTTCTTTTGAAAAAAGGCATTGGGATGCACACACTCCTTACATGGATGCACAAGAGCTACCAAAAAATATTTTTATTTAAATATTTCTTTATTGTAATAATTTTCATATATTTTTTGGGTAATTTTAATTCTCACTATTTTGAGACCTAAAATTTTAGGGCATGTTTGTTACTCCATATTATATGGTCATATTTTATTTGTTCTCCCACAGAATTTGATATTTTAGTAAATAAAATTTAGACATATAATATGGATGTTTGTTCAAATTTTGAAATGCCCATTTTGTGTTTAATGTTTTAATGCCTAATTATTTGTATAGACATACGTGGTCTCTTTTGTGTTAAAGTGAGAATGAAAATTTTAATTAGAAGCTCATGTGCTATCATAAAGCTTAAGCCATAAGTTTATCCATAATTTATTTATTATTGCTATCATTATTATTTGATATCTTGTTTTATGTGAGTATCATGTGTTTTGATTTGCTATCCAAGCGGGAGAAAATTAGAATTTTTTTTTTTTGTGGATTAGCATAATCACTAACTCACATACTATTATCAAATAACAAATTGTGGGATTATATGGATAAACTTAATTTGTTGATTATGTTCCGAAAATGCATACGGGTAATGTAATTATCATATCGATAGTTTTATTGCTTGGTAGGACGGTTGAGTCTTGTTGGAGCTTAAGCTTGTTGTCTTTATCCATGTATTTTGTTTACATATTATTATTTGACTTTTTGTATTATATGAGTATTGTCATCATTGATTATGCAATCCAAGTGGGAGAATATTGTGTGTTTATGTGTGGACTTGCATAATCATTAAACTCATATTATAGTCAAATAATATATTAGAGTGTTAAGGATAAAGGTATGTATTTACCATATTGTTAAGATCCATACGGGCAATTAAATTATCCTATCGATAATTAATTGTTTTGTAGGATGCTTAGACTGGTGAAGGAAGTTTGTTGGATGTCATAAATCGCATAATCTTTACTACCTTATCGGTGGTGGATTGATGCATTTGGTTGTGATGTTTGATGAATTATCCTTACCTATGAAAGAGTTTTATTCTTGCTCAACGGACTCTAGCACACAATGATCATATTGGCTTGGATCATTGGGAAGGCTAAGTAAAGGGCAAATTGCATGATCTTATTTTACATACTTAAATTATCCTATCAATAATTAATTGCTTGGTAGGATACTTAGACTGGTGAAGGAAGTTTGTTGGATGTCATAAATCGCATAATCTTTACTACCTTATCGGTGGTGGATTGATGCATTTGGTTGTGATGTTTGATGAATTATCCTTACCTATGAAAGAGTTTTATTCTTGCTCAACGGACTCTAGCACACAATGATCATATTGGCTTGGATCATTGGGAAGGCTAAGTAAAGGGTAAATTGCATGATCTTATTTTACATGCCTATTGTTGGTTGCCCCTGTTGTTTTCTTTATCCTTGAGCAATCCTTGCATCTCCGCTATCTTGGCGTTAAATGGGACAAGTTATTATATATGGTATGAATCTCTTTATGAATATGTTAATGATGAAATGGACATAGCCTTGAGAATGGATGTGTTTCCTAGCTCCACTAATGTGTTGAGAAACTCTATGATGGGTGGGAGTGTATGGATAACACCGAGGCAGTAGCGTCTCAATTTTAGAATGAGACAATCACTAAAATTAGCTTTATGGAGAATATTGTTGATAAATGCATATGTGTAAGGTCAGTGGGAGCAGTTGCATGCTTCTATTTTTTTATGTTGGTGACAACTTACTTGCACCTAATGATTCTAACTTGTTGATTGAGACGAATAACATATCGCCTAGTCACTTTGGTTTGAGAATCTTGAAAAAACCTCTTATGTTCTAGGCATGTAGATTCTCCGTGACAAGGATAAGTGCATTTTATGGTCGTCTCAGAGAACCTGTATTGTTCTTGTTTCAAACAGGTTCAATATACATTCTTGTTCTCCTGGTAAGCATTGTTTGTTAAAGTGACAAACTCTCAAAGGTGTAATGTCCTTATGGTGAAGTAAGAGAGATCATATAAAATTGTCCCTTATGCTTACGTGTTTAGTAGCCTTATGTATGCTCAAGTATGCACACGTCTTATTATTGTGTTTGTTGTTGACGTGCAGATTCAGTACTTGAGTGATTGTTGTTATTATTACTGAATTAACTGGGTATGAAGTACCAGATAGTTGTGTATCGGTGAACCAACACTTTTTTTGTAGTTGGATCTCGTGATGCCGATTAATTAGGCTGCTTAAATGATAAAATGAGGAGCTACTTTGTTGAAAACTATCAAATAGACACTCGTAGTGTCCTTGACTGTGATGCAGAGTATGTGGCGTATCGTGAGGCTATTTATGTGATGTAATTGTGGAACCTTATTTCAGCATTAGGAGTAGTTCACTCCATTTCTGGACCGACTGAAACTGTATTGTGAAAGTTTCATAATAACATATTTCTCTTAGAACACCAGGAGCATTGTCCGCTCAAGCACAATGATGGTGTGTCCTATTTTTGTTAAGAGAAATTGAAAAAGGCCT